GGGAGAATGGGGCGGGGTGATGGAAAGTGGGAGAATGGGGCGGGGTGATGGAAAGCGGGAGAATTGGGCGGGTTGATGGAAAGCAGGAGAATGGGGCGGGGTGATGGAAAGCTGGAGAATGGGGCGGGGTGATGGAAAGCGGGAGAATGGGGCGGGGTGATGGTAAGCTGGAGAATGGGGCGGGGTGATGGAAAGCGGAAGAATGGGGCGGGGTGATGGAAATAGGGAGGATGGGGCGGGGTGATGGAAAGAGGGAGCATGGGGCAGGGTGATGGAAATAGGGAGAATGGGGCGGGGTGATGGAAAGAGGGAGACTGGGGCGGGGTGATGGAAAGAGGGAGAATGGGGCGGGGTGATGGAAAGCGGGAGAATGGGGCGGGTTGACGGAAAGCGGGAGAATGGGGCGGGGTGATGGAAAGTGGGAGAATGGAGCGGGGTGATGGAAATAGGGAGAATGGGCCGGGGTGATGGAAAGCGGGAGAATGGGGCGGGGTGGTAGAAAGAGGGAGAATGGGGCGGGGTGATGAAAAGAGGGAGAATGGGACGGGGTGATGGAAAGCGGGAGAATGGGGTGGGGTGATGGAAAGCGGGAGAATAGGGCGGGGTGATGGAAAGCAGGAGAATGGGGCGGGGTGATGGAAAACGGGAGAATGGGCCGGGATGATGGAAAGCGGGAGAATGGGGCGGGGTGATGAAAAGCGGGAGAATGGGGCGAGGTGATGGAAAGCGGGAGAATGGGGCGGGGTGATGGAAAGCAGGAGAATGGGGCGGGGTGATGGAAAGCTTGAAAATGGGGCGGGGTGATGGAAAGCGGGAGAATGGGGCGGGGTGATGGAAAGCGGGAGAATGGGGCGGGGTGATGGAAAGCGGGAGAATGGGGCAGGGTGATGGAAAGCGGGAGAATGGGGCAGGGTGGTGGAAAGCGGGATAATAGGGCGGGGTGATGGAAAGCGGGAGAATGGGGCGGGGTGATGGAAAGCGGGAGAATGGGGCGGGGTGATGGTAAGCTGGAGAATGGGGCGGGGTGATGGAAAGAGGGGGAATGGGGCGGGGTGATGGAAAGAGGGAGAATGGGGCAGGGTGATGAAAAGCGGAAGAATGGGGCGGGGTGAAGAAACGCGGGAGAATGGGGCGGGCTGATGGAAAGAGGGGGAATGGGGCGGGGTGATGGAAAGAGGGAGAATGGGGCAGGATGATGAAAAGCGGAAGAATGGGGTGGGGTGATTGAAAGAGGGAGAATGGGGCGGGGTGAAGAAAAGCGGGAGAATGGGGCGGGTTGATGGAAAGAGGGAGAATGGGGCGGGGTGATGGAAAGCGGAAGAATGGGGCGGGGTGATGGAAAGCGGGAGAATGGGGCGGGGTGATGGAAAGCGGGAGGATGGGGCAGGGTGATGGAAAGCGGGAGAATGGGGCGGGGTGATGGAAAGCGGGAGAATGGGGCGGGGTGATGGAAAGCGGGAGAATTGGGCGGGTTGATGGAAAGCGGGAGAATGGGGCGGGGTGATGGAAAGCTCGAGAATGGGGCGGGGTGATGGAAAGCGGGAGAATGGGGCGGGGTGATGGTAAGCTGGAGAATGGGGCGGGGTGATGGAAAGAGGGGGAATGGGGCGGGGTGATGGAAAGAGGGAGAATGGGGCAGGGTGATGAAAAGCGGAAGAATGGGGCGGGGTGAAGAAACGCGGGAGAATGGGGCGGGCTGATGGAAAGAGGGGGAATGGGGCGGGGTGATGGAAAGAGGGAGAATGGGGCAGGGTGATGAAAAATGGAATGGGGTGGGGTGATTGAAAGAGGGAGAATGGGGCAGGGTGAAGAAAAGCGGGAGAATGGGGCAGGTTGATGGAAAGAGGGAGAATGGGGCGGGGTGATGGAAAGCGGAAGAATGGGGCGGGGTGATGGAAAGCGGGAGAATGGGGCGGGGTGATGGAAAGCGGGAGAATGGGACGGGGTGATGAAAAGCGGGAGAATGGGGCGAGGTGATGGAAAGCGGGAGAATGGGGCGGGGTGATGGAAAGCAGGAGAATGGGGCGGGGTGATGGAAAGCTTGAAAATGGGGCGGGGTGATGGAAAGCGGGAGAATGGGGCGGGGTGATTGAAAGCGGGAGAATGGGGCGGGGTGATGGAAAGCGGGAGAATGGGGCAGGGTGATGGAAAGCGGGAGAATGGGGCAGGGTGGTGGAAAGCGGGATAATAGGGTGGGGTGATGGAAATAGGGAGAATGGGGCAGGGTGATGGAAAGAGGGAGAATGGGGTGAGGTGATGGAAAGCGGGAGAATGGGGCGGGGTGATGGAAAGCGGGAGAATGGGGCGGGGTGATGAAAAGCGGAAGAATGGGCGGGAGAATGGGGCGGGCTGACGGAAAGAGGGGGAATGGGGCGGGGTGATGGAAAGAGGGAGAATGGGGCAGGATGATGAAAAGCGGAAGAATGGGGTGGGGTGATTGAAAGAGGGAGAATGGGGCGGGGTGAAGAAAAGCGGGAGAATGGGGCGGGTTGATGGGAAGAGGGAGAATGGGGCGGGGTGATGGAAAGCGGAAGAATGGGGCGGGGTGATGGAAAGCGGGAGAATGGGGCGGGGTGATGGAAAGCGGGAGAATGGGGCGGGGTGATGGAAAGCGGGAGAATGGGGCAGGGTGATGGAAAGCGGGAGAATGGGGCGGGGTGATGGAAAGCGGGAGAATTGGGCGGGTTGATGGAAAGCGGGAGAATGGGGCGGGGTGATGGAAAGCTGGAGAATGGGGCGGGGTGATGGAAAGCGGGAGAATGGGGCGGGGTGATGGTAAGCTGGAGAATGGGGCGGGGTGATGGAAAGAGGGGGAATGGGGCGGGGTGATGGAAAGAGGGAGAATGGGGCAGGGTGATGAAAAGCGGAAGAATGGGGCGGGGTGAAGAAAAGCGGGAGAATGGGGCGGGCTGATGGAAACAGGGGGAATGGGGCGGGGTGATGGAAAGAGGGAGAATGGGGCAGGATGATGAAAAGCGGAAGAATGGGGTGGGGTGATTGAAAGAGGGAGAATGGGGCGGGGTGAAGAAAAGCGGGAGAATGGTGCGGGTTGATGGAAAGAGGGAGAATGGGGCGGGGTGATGAAAAGCGGAAGAATGGGGCGGGGTGATGGAAAGCGGGAGAATGGGGCGGGGTGATGGAAAGCGGGAGAATGGGGCGGGGTGATGGAAAGCGGGAGAATGGGGCGGGGTGATGGAAAGCGGGAGAATGGGGCGGGGTGATGGAAAGCGGGAGAATTGGGCGGGTTGATGGAAAGCGGGAGAATGGGGCGGGGTGATGGAAAGCTGGAGAATGGGGCGGGGTTATGGAAAGCGGGAGAATGGGGCGGGGTGATGGTAAGCTGGAGAATGGGGCGGGGTGATGGAAAGAGGGGGAATGGGGCGGGGTGATGGAAAGAGGGAGAATGGGGCAGGGTGATGAAAAGCGGAAGAATGGGGCGGGGTGAAGAAAAGCGGGAGAATGGGGCGGGCTGATGGAAAGAGGGGGAATGGGGCGGGGTGATGGAAAGAGGGAGAATGGGGCAGGGTGATGAAAAGCGGAAGAATGGGGTGGGGTGATTGAAAGAGGGAGAATGGGGCGGGGTGAAGAAAAGCGGGAGAATGGGGCGGGTTGATGGAAAGAGGGAGAATGGGGCGGGGTGATGGAAAGCGGAAGAATGGGGCGGGGTGATGGAAAGCGGGAGAATGGGGCGGGGTGATGGAAAGCGGGAGAATGGGACGGGGTGATGGAAAGCGGGAGAATGGGGCGGGGTGATGGAAAGCGGGAGAATAGGGCGGGGTGATGGAAAGCAGGAGAATGGGGCGGGATGATGGAAAACGGGAGAATGGGCCGGGGTGATGGAAAGCGGGAGAATGGGGCGGGGTGATGAAAAGCGGGAGAATGGGGCGAGGTGATGGAAAGCGGGAGAATGGCGCGGGGTGATGGAAAGCAGGAGAATGGGGCGGGGTGATGGAAATCTTGAAAATGGGGCGGGGTGATGGAAAGCGGGAGAATGGGGCGGGGTGATGGAAAGCGGGAGAATGGGGCGGGGTGATGGAAAGCGGGAGAATGGGGCGGGGTGATGGAAAGCGGGAGAATGGGGCAGGGTGATGGAAAGCGGGAGAATGGGGCAGGGTGGTGGAAAGCGGGATAATAGGGCGGGGTGATGGAAAGCGGGAGAATGGGGCGGGGTGATGGAAAGCGGGAGAATGGGGCGGGGTGATGGAACGCGGGAGAAAGGGGTGGGGTGATGGAAAGCGGGAGAGTGGGGCGGGGTGATGGAAAGAGGGAGAATAGGGTGGGGTGATGGAAAGAGGGAGAATGGGGCAGGGTGATGGAAAGAGGGAGAATGGGGCGAGGTGATGGAAAGCGGGAGAATGGGGCGGGGTGATGAAAAGCGGAAGAATGGGGCGGGGTGAAGAAAAGCGGGAGAATGGGGCAGGCTGATGGAAAGAGGGGGAATGGGGCGGGGTGATGGAAAGAGGGAGAATGGGGCAGGGTGATGAAAAGCGGAAGAATGGGGTGGGGTGATTGAAAGAGGGAGAATGGGGCGGGGTGAAGAAAAGCGGGAGTATGGGGCGGGTTGATGGAAAGAGGGAGAATGGGGCGGGGTGATGGAAAGCGGAAGAATGGGGCGGGGTGATGGAAAGCGGGAGAATGGGGCGGGGTGATGGAAAGCGGGAGAATGGGGCGGGGTGATGGAAAGCGGGAGAATGGGGCGGGGTGATGGAAAGGAGGAGAATGGGGCGGGGTGATGGAAAGCGGGAGAATTGGGCGGGTTGATGGAAAGCGGGAGAATGGGGCGGGGTGATGGAAAGCGGGAGAATGGGGCGGGGTGATGGAAAGCGGGAGAATGGGGCGGGTTGATGGTAAGCTGGAGAATGGGGCGGGGTGATGGAAAGCGGAAGAATGGGGCGGGGTGATGGAAATAGGGAGGATGGGGCGGGGTGATGGAAAGAGGGAGCATGGGGCAGGGTGATGGAAATAGGGAGAATGGGGCGGGGTGATGGACAGAGGGAGACTGGGGCGAGGTGATGGAAAGAGTGAGAATGGGGCGGGGTGATGGAAAGCGAGGGAATGGGGCAGGTTGACGGAAAGCGAGGGAATGGGGCGGGGTGATGGAAAGAGGAAGAATGGAGCGGGGTGATGGAAATAGGGAGAATGGGCCGGGGTGATGGAAAGCGGGAGAATGGGGCGGGGTGGTGGAAAGAGGGAGAATGGGGCGGGGTGATGAAAAGAGGGAGAATGGGGCGGGGTGATGGAAAGCAGGAGAATGGGGTGGGGTGATGGAAAGCGGGAGAATGGGGCGGGGTGATGGAAAGCGGGAGAATGGGGCGGGGTGATGGAAAGAGGGAGAAAGGGGCGGGGTGATGGAAAGCGGGAGAATGGGGCGGGGTGATGGAAAGCGGGAGAATGGGGCGGGGTGATGGAAAGCGGGAGAATGGGGCGGGGTGATGGAAAGCTTGAGAATGGGGCGGGGTGATGGAAAGCGGGAGAATGGGGCGGGGTGATGGAAAGCGGGAGAATGGGGCCGGGTGATGGAAAGCTTGAGAATAGGGCGGGGTGATGGAAAGCAGGAGAATGGGGCGGAGTGATGGAAAACGGAAGAATAGGGCGGGGTGAAGAAAAGCGGAAGAATGGGGCGGGTTGATGGAAAGAGGGAGAATGGGGCGGGGTGAATGGGGCGGGGTGATGGAAAGCGGAAGAATGGGGCGGGTTGATGGAAAGAGGGAGAATGGGGCGGGGTGATGGAAAGCGGGAGAAAGGGGCGGGGTGATGGAAAGCGGGAGAATGGGGCGGGGTGATGGAAAGCGGGAGAATGGGGCGGGGTGATGGAAAGCGGGAGAATTGGGCGGGTTGATGGAAAGCGGGAGAATGGGGTGGGGTGATGGAAAGCTGGAGAATGGGGCGGGGTGATGGAAAGCGGGAGAAAGGGGCGAGGTGATGGTAAGCTGGAGAATGGGGCGGGGTGATGGAAAGCGGAAGAATGGGGCGGGGTGATGGAAATAGGGAGGATGGGGCGGGGTGATGGAAAGAGGGAGCACGGGGCAGGGTGATGGAAATAGGGAGAATGGGGCGGGGTGATGGAAAGAGGGAGACTGGGGCGGGGTGATGGAAAGAGGGAGAATGGGGCGGGGTGATGGAAAGCGGGAGAATGGGGCGGGGTGACGGAAAGCGGGAGAATGGGGCGCGGTGATGGAAAGTGGGAGAATTGAGCGGGGTGATGGAAATAGGGAGAATGGGCCGGGGTGATGGAAAGCGGGAGAATGGGGAGGGGTGGTGGAAAGAGGGAGAATGGGGCGGGGTGATGAAAAGAGGGAGAATGGGACGGGGTGACGGAAAGCGGGAGAATGGGGCGGGTGATGGAAAGCGGGAGAATAGGGCGAGGTGATCGCCAGCAGGAGAATGGGTTTAGGGTTTAAATGGGAGGGGAGGATGGGGCGGGTGATGGAAAACGGGAGAATGTGCCGGGGTGATGGAAAGCAGGAGAATGGGGCGGGGTGATGAAAAGCGGGAGAATGGGGCGGGGTGATGGAAAGCAGGAGAATGGGGCGGGGTGATGGAAAGCTTGAGAATGGGGCGGGGTGACGGAAAGCGGGAGAATGGGGCGGGGTGATGGAAGGTGGGAGAATGGAGCGGGGTGATGGAAAGCGGGAGAATGGGGCAGGGTGATGGAAAGCGGGAGAATGGGGCAGGGTGGTGGAAAGCGGGAGAATAGGGCGGGGTGATAGAAGGCGGGAGAATGGGGCGGGGTGATGGAAAGCGGGAGAATGGGGCAGGGTGATGGAACGCGGGAGAAAGGGGTGGGGTGATGGAAAGTGGGAGAGTGGGGCGGGGTGATGGAAAGAGGGAGAATAGGGTGTGGTGATGGAAAGAGGGAGAATGGGGCAGGGTGATGGAAAGAGGGAGAATGGGGCAGGGTGATGCAAAGCGGGAGAATGGGGCGGGGTGATGGAAAGCGGGAGAATGGGGCGGGGTGATGGAAAGCGGGAGAATGGGGTGGGGTGATGGAAAGCATGAGAATGGGGCGGCATGATGGAAAGCGGGAGAATGGGGCCGGGTGATGGAAAGAGGAAGAATATGGCTGGGTGATGGAAAGCGGGAGAATGGGGCGGAGTGATGGAAAGCAGGAGAATGGGGCAGGGTGATGGAAAGCGGGAGAATGGGGCAGGGTGGTGGAAAGCGGGAGAATGGGGCGGGCTGATGGAAAGAGGGGGAATGGGGCAGGGTGATGGAAAGAGGGAGAATGGGGCGGGGTGATGAAAAGCGGAAGAATGGGGTGGGGTGATGGAAAGAGGGAGAATGGGGCGGGGTGATGAAAAGCAGAAGAATGGGGCACGGTGATGGAAAGAGGGAGAATGGGGCGGGGTGATGGAAAGAGGGTTAATGGGGCAGGGTGATGGAAAGCGGAAGAATGGGGCGGGGTGATGGAAAGCGGGAGAATGGGGCGGGGTGATGGAAAGCGGGAGAATGGGGCGGGGTGATGGAAAGCGGGAGAATGGGGCGGGGTGATGGAGCGGGAGAATGGGGCGGGGTGTTGGAAAGCAGGAGAATGGGGCTGGGTGATGGAAAGAGGGAGAATAGGGCGGGGTGATGGAAAGCGGGAGAATTGGGCGGGGTGATGGAAAGCGGGAGAATGAGGCGGGGTGATGGAAAGCGGGAGAGGTGCGGGGTGATGGAAATCGGGAGAATGGGGCGGGGTGATGAAAATCGGGAGAATGGGGCGGGGTGATGAAAAGCACATTCTCCCTCTTTCCATCACCCCTCCCCATTCTCCCGCTTTCCATCACCCCGCCCCATTCTCCCGCTTTCCATCACCCCGCCCCATTCTCCCTCTTTCCATCACCCCGCCCTATTCTCCCTCTTTCCATCACCCCGCCCCATTCTCCCACTTTCCATCACCCCGCCCCATTCTCCCGCTTTCCATCACCCCACCCCATTCTCCCGCTTTCCATCACCCCGCTCCATTCTCCCGCTTTCCATCACCCCGCCCAATTCTCCCTCTTTCCATCACCCCTCCCCATTCTCCCTCTTTCCATCACCCCGCCCCATTCTCCCACTTTCCATCACCCCGCCCCATTCTCCCGCTTTCCATCACCCCGCCCCATTCTCCCGCTTTCCATAACCCCGCCCCATTCTTCCGCTTTCCATCACCCCGCCCCATTCACCCCGCCCCATTCTCCCTCCTTCCATCAACCCGCCCCGTTCTCCCGCTTTTCATCACCCCGCCCCATTCTCCCTCTTTCCATCACCCCGCCCCATTCTTCCGCTTTTCATCACCCTACCCCATTCTCCCACTTTCCATCACCCCGCCCCATTCCCCCTCTTCCCATCAGCCCGCCCCACTCTCCCGATTTTCTTCACCCCACCCCATTCTTCCGCTTTTCATCACCCCGCCCCATTCTCCCGCTTTCCATCACCCCGCCCCATTCTCCCGCTTTCCATCACCCCGCCCCATTCTCCCGCTTTCCATCACCCCGCCCCATTCTCCCGCTTTCTATCACTCCGCCCCATTCTCCCGCTTTCCATCACCTCGCCCCATTCTCAAGCTTTCCATCACCCCGCCCCATTCTCCCGCTTTCCATCACCCGCCCCATTCTCCCGCTTTCCATCACCCCGCCCCATTCTCCCGCTTTCCATCACCCCGCCCCATTCTTCCGCTTTCCATCACCCCGCCCCATTCTCCCGCTTTCCATCACCCCACCCCATTCTCCCGCTTTCCATCACCCTGCCCCATTCTCCCTCTTTCCATCACCCCGCCCCATTGTCCCGCTTTCCATCACACCGCCCCATTCTCCCTCTATCCACCACCCCGCCCTATTCTCCCTCTTTCCATCACCCCGCCCCATTCTCCCGCTTTCCATCACCCCGCCTCATTCTCTGCTTTCCATCACCCCTCCCCATTTTCCCGCTTTCCATCACCCCGACCCATTCTCCCGCTTTCCATCACCCCGCCCCATTCTCCCTCTTTCCATCACCCCGCCCCATTGTCCCTCTTTCCATCACCCCGCCCAATTCTTCCTCTTTCCATCACCCTGCCCCATTCTCCCTCTTTCCATCACCCCGCCTCATTCTCCCGCTTTCCATCACACCACCCCATTCTCCCGCTTTCCATCACCACGCCCCATTTTCCCTCTTTCCATCACCCCGCCCCATTCTCCCGCTTTCCATCACCCCGCCCCATTCTCCCGCTTTCCATCACCCCGCTCCATTCTCCCGCATTCCATCACCCCGCCCAATTCTCCCTCTTCCCATCACCCCTCCCCATTCTCCCTCTTTCCATCACCCCGCCCCGTTCTCCCGCTTTCCATCACCCCGCCCCATTCTCCCTCTTTCCATCACCCCGCCCCATTCTCCCGCTTTCCATCACCCCGCCCCATTCTCCCTTTTCCATCATCCCGCCCCATTCTCCCGCTTTCTATCACCCCGCCCCATTCTCCCTCGTTCCATCACCCCGCCCCATTCTCTCGCTTTCCATCACACCACCCCATTCTCCCGCTTTCCATCACCACGCCCCATTTTCCCTCTTTCCATCACCCCGCCCCATTCTCCCGCTTTCCATCACCCCGCCCCATTCTCCCGCTTTCCATCACCCCGCTCCATTCTCCCGCATTCCATCACCCCGCCTTATTCTCCCTCTTTCCATCACCCCTCCACATTCTCCCTCTTTCCATCACCCCGCCACATTCTCCCGCTTTCCATCACCGCGCCTCATTATCCCTCTTTCCATCACCCCGCCCCATTCTCCCGCTTCTCATCACACCGCCCCATTCTCCCTCTATCCATCACCCCGCCCTATTCTCCCGCTTTCCATCACACCGCCCCATTCTCCCGCTTTCCATCACCCCTCCCCATTCTCCCGCTTTCCATCACCCCGCCCCATTCTCCCGCTTTCCATCACCCCGCCCCATACTCCTTCTTTCCATCACCCCGCCCTATTCTCCCTCTTTCCATCACCCCGCTCCATTCTCCCGCTTTCCATCACCCCGCCTCATTCTCCCGCTTTCCATCACCCCACCCCATTCTCTCGCTTTCCATCACCCCGCTCTATTCTCCCGCTTTCCATCACCCCGTCCAGTTCTCCCTCTTTCCATCACCCCTCCCCATTATCCCTCTTTCCATCACCCCGCCCCATTCTCCCTCTTTCCATCACCCCGCCCCATTCTCCCGCTTTCCATCACCCCGCCCCATTCTCCCTCTTTCCATCACCCCACCCCATTCTCCCGCTTTCCATCACCCCGCCCCATTCTCCCGCTTTCCATCACCCCGCCCCATTCTTCCGCTTTCCATCACCCCGCCCCATTCTCCCTCTTTCCATCTCCCCGCCCCATTCTCCCTCTCTCCATCACCCCGCCCTATTCTCCCGCTTTCCATCATCCCGCCCCATTCTCCCGCTTTCAATCACCCCGCCCCATTCTTCCGCTTTCCATCACCCCGCCCCATTCTTCCGCTTTCCATCACCCCGCCCCATTCTCCCGCTTTCCATCACCCCGCCCCATTCTCCCTCTTTCCATCACCCCACCCCATTCTCCCGCTTTCCATCACCCCGCCCCATTCTCCCGCTTTCCATCACCCCGCCCCATTCTTCCGCTTTCCATCACCCCGCCCCATTCTCCCTCTTTCCATCTCCCCGCCCCATTCTCCCTCTCTCCATCACCCCGCCCTATTCTCCCGCTTTCCATCATCCCGCCCCATTCTCCCGCTTTCAATCACCCCGCCCCATTCTTCCGCTTTCCATCACCCCGCTCCATTCTCCCGCTTTCCATCACCCCGCCCCATTCTCCCGCTTTCCATCACCCCACCCCATTCTCTCGCTTTCCATCACCCCGCTCCATTCTCCCGCTTTCCATCACCCCGTCCAGTTCTCCCTCTTTCCAACACCCCTCCCCATTATCCCTCTTTCCATCACCCCGCCCCATTCTCCCTCTTTCCATCACCCCGCCCCATTCTCCCGCTTTCCATCACCCCGCTCCATTCTCCCTCTTTCCATCACCCCACCCCATTCTCCCGCTTTCCATCACCCCGCCCCATTCTCCCGCTTTCCATCACCCCGCCCCATTCTTCCGCTTTCCATCACCCCGCCCCATTCTCCCTCTTTCCATCTCCCCGCCCCATTCTCCCTCTCTCCATCACCCCGCCCTATTCTCCCGCTTTCCATCATCCCGCCCCATTCTCCCGCTTTCAATCACCCCGCCCCATTCTTCCGCTTTCCATCACCCCGCCCCATTCTCCCGCTTTCCATCACCCCGCCCCATTCTCCCGCTATTTCATCACCCCGCCCCATTCTCCCTCTTTCCATCACCCCGCAACATTCTCCCTCTTTTCATCACCCCACCCCATTCTCCCGCTTTCCATCACCCCGCCCCATTCTCCCGCTTTCTGTCAACCCGCCTCATTCTCCCGCTTTCCATCACCCCACCCCATTCTCCCGCTTTCCATCACCCCACCCCATTCTCCCGCTTTCCATCACCCCCCCCTATTCTCCCTCTTTCCATCACCCTGTCCCATTCTCCCGCTTTCCATCACCGTCCCATTCTCCTTCTTTCCATCACCCCACCCAATTCTCCCGCTTTCCAGCACCCCGCCCCATTGTCCCTCTTTCCATCACCCCGCCCCATTCTCCCGCTTTCCACCACCCCGCTCCATTCTCCCGCTTTCCATCACCCCGCCCAATTCTCCCTCTTTCCATCACCCCTCCCCATTCTCCCTCTTTCCATCACCCCGCCACATTCTCCCGCTTTCCATCACCGCGCCTCATTATCCCTCTTTCCATCACCCCGCCCCATTCTCCCGCTTTCCATCACACCGCCCCATTCTCCCTCTATCCACCACCCCGCCCTATTCTCCCTCTTTCCATCACCCCGCCCCATTCTCCCGCTTTCCATCACCCCGCCCCATTCTCCCGCTATTTCATCACCCCGCCCCATTCTCCCTCTTTCCATAACCCCGCCCTATTCTCCCTCTTTCCATCACCCCGCAACATTCTCCCTCTTTTCATCACCCCACCCCATTCTCCCGCTTTCCATCACCCCGCCCCATTCTCCCGCTTTCTGTCAACCCGCCTCATTCTCCCGCTTTCCATCACCCCACCCCATTCTCCCGCTTTCCATCACCCCACCCCATTCTCCCGCTTTCCATCACCCCCCCCTATTCTCCCTCTTTCCATCACCCTGCCCCATTCTCCCGCTTTCCATCACCGTCCCATTCTCCTTCTTTCCATCACCCCACCCAATTCTCCCGCTTTCCATCACCCCGCCCCATTGTCCCTCTTTCCATCACCCCGCCCCATTCTCCCGCTTTCCACCACCCCGCTCTATTCTCCCGCTTTCCATCACCCCGCCCAATTCTCCCTCTTTCCATCACCCCTCCCCATTCTCCCTCTTTCCATCACCCCGCCACATTCTCCCGCTTTCCATCACCGCGCCTCATTATCCCTCTTTCCATCACTCCGCCCCATTCTCCCGCTTTCCATCACACCGCCCCATTCTCCCTCTATCCATCACCCCGCCCTATTCTCCCGCTTTCCATCACACCGCCCCATTCTCCCGCTTTCCATCACCCCTCCCCATTCTCCCGCTTTCCATCACCCCGCCCCATTCTCCCGCTTTCCATCACCCCGCCCCATACTCCTTCTTTCCATCACCCCGCCCTATTCTCCCTCTTTCCATCACCCCGCTCCATTCTCCCGCTTTCCATCACCCCGCCCCATTCTCCCGCTTTCCATCACCCCACCCCATTCTCCCGCTTTCCATCACCCCGCTCCATTCTCCCGCTTTCCATCACCCCGTCCAGTTCTCCCTCTTTCCATCACCCCTCCCCACTATCCCTCTTTCCATCACCCCGCCCCATTCTCCCTCTTTCCATCACCCCGCCCCATTCTCCCGCTTTCCATCACCCCGCCCCATTCTCCCTCTTTCCATCACCCCGCCCCATTCTCCCGCTTTCCATCACCCCGCCCCATTCTCCCGCTTTCCATCACCCCGCCCCATTCTTCCGCTTTCCATCACCCCGCCCCATTCTCCCTCTTTCCATCTCCCCGCCCCATTCTCCCTCTCTCCATCACCCCGCCCTATTCTCCCGCTTTCCATCATCCCGCCCCATTCTCCCGCTTTCAATCACCCCGCCCCATTCTTCCGCTTTCCATCACCCCGCCCCATTCTCCCGCTTTCCATCACCCCGCCCCATTCTCCCGCTATTTCATCACCCCGCCCCATTCTCCCTCTTTCTATAACCCCGCCCTATTCTCCCTCTTTCCATCACCCCGCAATTTTCTCCCTCTTTTCATCACCCCACCCCATTCTCCCGCTTTCCATCACCCCGCCCCATTCTCCCGCTTTCTGTCAACCTGCCTCATTCTCCCGCTTTCCATCACCCCACCCCATTCTCCCGCTTTCCATCACCCCACCCCATTCTCCTGCTTTCCATCACCCCCCCCTATTCTCCCTCTTTCCATCACCCTGCCCCATTCTCCCGCTTTCCATCACCGTCCCATTCTCCTTCTTTCCATCACCCCACCCAATTCTCCCGCTTTCCATCACCCCGCCCATTGTCCCTCTTTCCATCACCCCGCCCCATTCTCCCGCTTTCCACCACCCCGCTCCATTCTCCCGCTTTCCATCACCCCGCCCAATTCTCCCTCTTTCCATCACCCCTCCCCATTCTCCCTCTTTCCATCAGCCCGCCACATTCTCCCGCTTTCCATCACCGCGCCTCATTATCCCTCTTTCCATCACCCCGCCCCATTCTCCCGCTTTCCATCACACCGCCCCATTCTCCCTCTATCCACCACCCCGCCCTATTCTCCCTCTTTCCATCACCCCGCCCCATTCTCCCGCTTTCCATCACCCCGCCCCATTCTCCCGCTTTCCATCACCCCTCCCCATTCTCCCGCTTTCCATCACCCCGCCCCATTCTCCCGCTTTCCATCACCCCGCCCCAGGAATGGATCAACTAGAAGTGAAAAGATTACAAGTAGTAAACCCTAGAATTGTGTACCCCCTATAGGCTAACCCACTATAGCCTAGACAAGTATAACATATATAATGTTTGACACACCCCCATAGGCAAATTGGGGGAGAACAAGGGGTCACAAGACCAGTCAAGCAGAGCAAAGCAAGCTCAGGGTGGATCACAAAGTCACCACACAGTCCGAGCACAACAGCAGGGCCAGAGGCCAGTTCACATGCAGGAGTACAGACATATATATAAAACTAGACAAGCAAGAGCAGGTATATATATATGTCACAGTACAAGTAAAGTCAAGAGGAGAGCAAGTGAGGCAAGACAGACACAAGACCCAGCTGGGTGCAAAAGCGCTGATGATCACAAGGCGCGAGTGCCTTGGTGAACACATCAGCAGTGTTGGCCTCAGAGGCCACGTACGCAAGTCGCAACTGACCACGCTGCTGCAGCTCACGAGCAAGGAAGTAGCGGAGAGCAATGTGCTTCGTTCTGTGCTCCAAGCACTGCTCTCGACACAAGGCCAGCATGGCCTTGTTGTCTACGTACAGCACTGGAGGAGAACGAGGCGGCTCTCCAAGGTCAGTCAGCAGGTAGGTGAGCCAGCGAAGCTCCTGTGCAGCCATGGCCCCGGCGTAGATCTCAGCCTCACAACTGGAGCCGAGAACCGAAGACGAGCGAGTAGACCGCCACGAGACAGAGCCGGAACCAAGGCTGAAGGTGTAACCTTGTGACGACCGCTGCGTAGCCTGGTCGTCAGCCCAAGAAGCGTCCGCGTGGCCGGTAAGGACCACTGGACTCCGCCCTCCAAGCACAAGCCCCATGCCCGACGTACTGCACAGGTAGCGCAATACCCTCTTCGCTGCAGCCATGTGCTCTGGTCTGTGTCTCCCAGGAGCAACATAGCGTGCAAGAATGCTCAGAGGATATGCAAGGTCAGGTCGTGTGCAGGTCATCAGGTACATGAGGCAGCCAACAAGCTCTGCATACGGAGCACTCGACTCTACGGACTCATCCGAAGGCAGAGCTGAGAGTGAGTGGCGAGTAGGCAGAGGAGTGGCCTGAGGCAAGGAGTACGTGAAGCCGAAGCGCTGAAGGACCTGCTGCACCATGTGTGACTGAGTCAAGGTAATGGTGCGGCGTGCTCTGTCCCGGGTGATCTCCAAGCCAAGGTAGCTGCGCAGTTCACCCAGGTCTGTGCACGTGTGTCTCTTCAGCAGTTCGGACTTCACGTAGGCGAGTCCAGCAGTGTCCGCTGTGGCAAAGACCAAGTCGTTGACGTACACGAGGATGTAGAACGGCGGCAGTGAAGTGTCGGTGCGCAGAAACAGCGACGGGTCAGCAGTAGAAGGAGCAAACCCAAGAGCCGCAAGCGTAGTCCTCAGTGTGTCGTGCCACTCACGCGGTGCCTGGCGGAGACCGTAGACTGGCCGTCGGAGGCTCCACTGGGTGCTAGGAGGGAAAGTCCCAGTGAAGCCAGGTGGACGGCGCAGCCAGATCTCCTCGTGCAGGCTACCCTGCAGGAACGCAGTGCTGAAGTCGAGAGAGTGAAGCTCGTAGTCGCGCTGAGCGGCTATGTGCAGCAGCACCCGAAGAGTGGTCATCTTCGGGGTGGGAGAGAAGGTCTGAAAGTAGTCAACTCCCTGCCGCTGACTGAAGCCACGAGCAACGTACCGCGCCTTGAAGACAGGTGGAGAGCCCGGCGGCCGCTTCACCCGGAAGATCCACATGCCACTGACGATGTTCGCCCCAGGAGGGGGAACTGCGTCAACGTAGGTGCCTGTGGACTTCCAGGAAGCCATCTCTGCATCCATAGCTGCCTGCCACTGAGAGGAGTAGGGACCCTCTACGGCCTCCGCGTAAGAACGCGGAGTCGGGATGTCTAGTGCATCCGGGTCTCCCTCAGGGGCAAGCAGTACAGACGCGAGATGAGGTGAAGCAGCCGCTAGACACTGTAACTCCTCCTGTCTGTCCTCTAGGACGTCCGTGCCAAGAGCACACTCACCCCCGACGGACGGAGGACAGACAGACGCTGACTCAGCAACAAGACCAGCAGCGTAGTCGAGACGACAGCGAGCAGCAAAGTCAACGAGCTCAGCGACTAGAGCAGACGCAGCAGTGGACTCAAAAGAGGGGTCAGTGACGACAGTAGCAAGCAGACGCGTGACAGTAGGACTGGCAGTGCGAAGAGAGTCCGACTCAGGGTCGGCAAGCGCAGGAAGAGAGGACTCAGGAGGAGAAGGCAAAGGGGCACGCAGAGGAGCAGTGGACGGACGCAGAGACATCCGGTGCGTGCCAGGGACAGGAGGAGGACGCTGACGCGAACCGCGACCACTAGCGCGAGCAGCACGAACAGGCGACGCGGGACGAGACGCAGGCTCACGACGCTCAGCAAGACCTCCAGTAGGACCAGTGTAAGGAGAGGGAGCAGGCAGAGGAGAGGAAGGCTCCAACAGTGACTGCGACTGGACAGGCTGTGGACACTCTACCGAAGGAGAAAGACCAAGAACCTGCTGTAGGAGCGGAACGAAGTACGGCCGAGGCCGCGCGGCAGCTCCAGACTCAGCAAGGACAGCACCAGCACCCTCAGCGACAGCACCAGCGCCACCCACACCTCCAGCGGCAGGACCAACAGCAGTAGGCTCAGCACCAACGCCCTCAGCACCTCCAGCTCCAGGAGGACCCGCAGGTCCAGCAGCTCCGGGACCGGCAGCACCCGCACCCTCGACGGTCGAAGAAGCTCCAGCTCCAGCTCCAGCTGCACCTCCAGACTCAGCAGCACGCCTCCAGCGGCGAGCGTACCACTCGCGCAGCTCCTGTGGAGAGAGGGGCTCCTGGCGAGACGCAGCAGCAGGAGAAACCCCAGGCTCAGCAGCTCCAGACGCAGCAGGGACAGCACCAGCACCCTCAGCTACAGCACCAGCGCCACCCACACCTCCAGCGGCAGGACCAACAGCAGTAGGCTCAGCACCAACGCCCTCAGCAGCTCCAGCTCCAGGAGGACCCGCAGGTCCAGTAGCTCCGGGACCGGCAGCACCCGCACCCTCGACGGTCGAAGAAGCTCCAGCTCCAGCTCCAGCAGCACCTCCAGACTCAGCAGCACGCCTCCAGCGGCGAGCGAACCACTCGCGCAGCTCCTGTAGAGAGAGGGGCTCCCGGCGAGACGCAGCAGCAGGAGAAACCCCAGGCTCAGCAGCTCCAGACGCAGCACCCCCAGGCTCAGCAGCTCCCGACCCAGCACCCCCAGACCCATCACCTCCAGGCACAGCACCCCCTGGCTCAGCACCCCCAGGCTCCGCACCCTCCGCAGTAGCACTCGCAGGCCCAGTACCCCCAGCAGTAGCACCCCCAGGCTCAGCACCCCCGCGCACAGCACCCCCAGAGTCAGCACCCCCAGGCTCAGCACCCGCAGCAGCACCAGAGTCACCAGTAACCTCGACCGAGTCAACGGCGTCTACCTGGGACACACCTGAGGGGGCAGGAACCTGAGGGGGGAGGGGGTCTACCGGGGGGGGAACCGGTACAAGGAAGTCCGGGGGAGGGGGGAGGGAAGGAGTGCGGTAGGGGAAGAGACGGTAGAAGGGGACTGACTCGTCGAACGTGACGTCCTGGGAGGACAGAACACGACGAGAGGAGGGGTGGTAAAACTGCCACCCTGGGGCGTCAGTGGGGAAGCCAAGGAAGACACAGGGAGCAGCACGAGGGGACAGCTTGTCCGCAGACAAGTCGCGGACAAACGCCCGAGATCCCCAGACACGGAACACAGACGCATCGCCAACCTTCCCTGTCCACAGCAAGGCTGGGGACATCGCAGGCCGAGAGACCCGGGGGTGAAGGTTGAGCTGATGCGTCGCGTACCTCACCGCAAACGGCCATAGAAAATGGGGGGCAGCCGCATGCATCATGGACGTACGAGCGACATCCATGACCATGCCAATGCGACGCTCAGCAATCCCATTTTGCTGTGGTGAGTCCGGAAGCGTGAAGGACTGGCGGATGCCTCGCGCACGACACTAGGCACGCAGAAGGCCAGAGGAGAACTCTCCGCCTCTGTCCGAGTGCAGACGCAGAACAGGAAAGTCCGAGCGGAAGCTCTTCCTGAGCCGGAGACGAGCCTCGCGGATCCAGTCGATCAGCACCTCAGTGACCTCACCCTTGCTGCGCAAGGGGAGGACTGTGGTGTAACGCGAGTAGTCGTCAACCACCAACAGGAAGTAGCGCTCGTAATCCTGCCCACGGACGGGGGCTGGGCCCCACACATCCATGTGAAGCGTCTGCAGGGGAGCCTCTGTCGGGGGGAAGTGGGAGGAGTGAGGAGTAGCCCGGAGGCGACCCTCGACACAGGGGACACAGGAAGGTCCTGGCCCGGAGGGGAGAGGAGGGAGAGACTGGGGAAGACCAGAGACAAGGACACGGGAAGCCATGCTCCGAAGACGGGGCAAGGAGGGGTGGCCAAGACGGTGGTGCCACAGGAGAGTCTCGTGAGACAGGAGGCGACAAGTACAGGGGGCAGACTCAGGACCAGACCTGGACGCAGCAGCAAACACCTGACCCGACGCTGCTACCTGACCGGACGCGGGGACAGGAGGAGACTCAGTGGTCAGGGTGTAGAGGCTCGACCCCGGCCGACGCGAGAACGTGGCCAGGTGCCGGCCTGTGCGTGCGTCCGTGCAGTGGGTCACCCGCTGACTCGCAGGAGTGAACTGGTGAACCCCCGCATCCTGTAGGTCTGCACCACTCACCAAGTTCGTCGAGAACGAGGGGAGGTACAGGCCAGACAGGGTGCCCGAGGGGGCAGCCGGACACGGGAGGACAGTGGAGAAGTGAGCGAGGACAGGACCCCCAGAGGGGTCAGCCAGGGAGACTGCAACCGGCCGACCAAGCGGCGTGAGTGTGGTGCGGTCCCGAAAGAAGGAGCGAGAAGCCCCAGAGTCAAGTGTAAAGGTGAGGGAGGCCGAAGCCAACGCGGTACCTGAGAGCGCAGCCTCACCCGCACCTGAGGAAGCAGACTCACTAGCACCTAGAGCAGCAGCCGCACCTGTACCTGGAGTAGGAGACTCACTAGCACCCAGAGCAGCAGCCTCACCAGTAGCTAGAGCAGCAGGTCCTATACCTGGGTCAGGCGGGACGCACAGGTGACCGGCACGGTCAGCACTAGTAGGCAATGCATACATGGCAGTGAGAATAGCATCATAGTCAAGAGCATATATATCTACCCTCTGCCTAAGCAACTCCACCCAGTCGGGAAGCTCAGCCTCGTCGCCAAACACGGTACGCCAGGCGTCGCTCAGACGGGCGAAGCAGCGGGACGGTGTATGACTACGTGTCCCACAAGGCTGACCAGTCCGAGTACCAGTGCGAATCACGTAAGAGCAGCGAACAGCACTGAGAGACCCTCCACTCTGAGCGTACCACTCACGAAGCTGGCGAGGCGTGAGAGACACGCGAGAGGGTCGCGGGAGCTGCATCTGGCCGCCACCACGAGTAGAAGCAGCAGGAGTGGTAGTAGGAGTAGCGTCGCCACCCCTACAGCCCCAACCAGCGTACCACTCACGCAGCTGCTGGGGCGTGAGGGACTCACGCCGGCGTCGCTGGGGCTGCATTTGGCTCCGCAAGTAGAAGCAGGAGCAGGACTAGCAGCAGGGAGGCAGGCAGCCAGGCAAGCCAAAAGGCAGGCAGGCAGGCAAGCAGGCGACGCGCAGCGTGCTAGCAGGGCAAGAGCTCACCAGTGGTGGGAAGAGTAGGCTCGGCGACTCAGCGGCTCGGCAGCTCGGCGGCTCGGTGGCTCGGGCGACTCGGGCGGCTCGGCGGCAAGGCGGCTCAGCAGCAACTGCAGCTCAGCAGCTCGGTGACTCGGCGGCTCGGCGGCAGGGCGGCTCGGCAGCAACTGCAGCTCAGCAGCTCAGCGACTCGGCGGCTCGGCGGCAGGGCGGCTCGGCTGTGGGGCGGCTCGGCTGCTGCAGGTGAGCGGCTCGGCTGCTGCAGTGGGAGAGGAAAGAGGAGGAGAAGCAGGGGAGGCCACACACCTGCCACCCCTCTGCTGGCCTCTCAGGTTGCCTCGACAGGCGACGGGAAAAGGGGGGGTGGGTGGTGGGGGGCCGGTAGGTGCAGCGGCGGGGCCAGCAGGTGCAGTTGCGGGGCCGGTAGAAGGGGACGGCAGGAGCCGTCAGGAGGGGACGGCGGGGCCGTCAGGAAGGGACGGCGGGGCCGTCACGAAGGGACGGCGGGGCCGTCAGGAGGTGACCGGGCCGCGACGGGGGCAGGCGGCGGGGCCGCGTAAGGGCCTGGGCGGGGCCGCGACAGAGCCGTCAGCGGGGCCGCGTGAAAGCCGGGGCGGGGCCGCGTAGAAGCCGGGGCGGGGCCGCGCGAGAGCAGGCGGCGGGGCCGCGAAGGAGCCGGGGCGGGGCCGCGTGAGAGCAGGCGGCGGAGCCGCGTAAGGGCCTGGGCGGGGCCGCGACAAAGCCGTCGGCGGAGCCGCGTGAAAGCCGGGGCGGGGCCGCGTAGAAGCCGGGGTGGGGCCGCGCGAGAGCAGGCGGCGGGGCCGCGAAGGAGCCGGGGCGGGGCCGCGTGAGAGCAGGCGGCGGAGCCGCGTAAGGGCCTGGGCGGGGCCGCGACAAAGCCGTCGGCGGGGCCGCGTGAAAGCCGGGGCGGGGCCGCGTAGAAGCCGGGGCGGGGCCGCGCGAGAGCAGGCGGCGGGGCCGCGAAGGAGCCGGGGCGGGGCCGCGTGAGAGCAGGCGGCGGGGCCGCGACAGAGAGGGCGGCGGGGCCGCGTCAGTGAAGGCGGCGGGGCCGCAGGGGAAATGGCGACCCGAGGGGTCGCTAAAAAAAAAAGGATCGCGCCTCGGGGGGCGCTTCGGTGGGCCCAAAAAAAAAACGGTCCGTAGAAGGACCCGCTCTATACCAAGTGAGAATAAGCAAACAGGAATGGATCAACTAGAAGTGAAAAGAGTACAAGTAGTAAACCCTAGAATTGTGTACCCCCTATAGGCTAACCCACTGTAGCCTAGACAAGTATAACATATATAATGTTTGACAATTCTCCCTCTTTCCCTCACCCCGCCCTACTCTCCCTCTTTCCATCACCCCGCCCCATTCTCCCGCTTTCCATCACCCCGCCCCATTCTCCCGCTTTCTATCACCCCGCCCCATTCTCCCGCTTTCCATCACCCCTCCCCATTCTCCCGCTTTCCATCACCCCGCCCCATTCTCCCTCTTTCCATCACCCCTCCCCATTCTCACTCTTTCCATCACCCCGCCCCATTCTCCCGCTTTCCATCACCCCGCCCCATTCTCCCACTTTCCATCACCCCGCCCCATTCTCCCTCTTTCCATCACCCCTCCCCATTCTCCCTCTTTCCATCACCCCGCCACATTCTCCTGCTTTCCATCACCCCGCCCCATTCAACCCGCCCCATTCTCCCTCCTTCCATCAACCCGCCCCATTCTCCCGCTTTTCTTCACCCCGCCCCATTCTCCCTCTTTCCATCACCCCGCCCCATTCTTCCGCTTTTCATCACCCTACCCCATTCTCCCTCTTTCCATCACCCCGCCCCATTCCCCCTCTTTCCATCAGCCCGCCCCATTCTCCCGCTTTTCTTCACCCCGCCCCATTCTTCCGCTTTTCATCACCCCGCCCCATTCTCCCGCTTTCCATCACCCCGCCCCATTCTCCCGCTTTCCATCACCCCGCCCTTTTCTCCCGCTTTCCATCACCCCGCCCCATTCTCCCGCTTTCTATCACTCCGCCCCATTCTCCCGCTTTCCATCACCCCGCCCCATTCTCAAGCTTTCCATCACCCCGCCCCATTCTCCCGCTTTCCATCACCCCGCCCCATTCTCCCGCTTTCCATCACCCCGCCCCATTCTCCCGCTTTCCATCACCTCGCCCCATTCTCCCGCTTTCCATCACCCCGCCCCTTTCTCCCTCTTTCCATCACCCCGCCCCATTCTCCCGCTTTCCATCACCCCGCCCCATTCTCCCGCTTTCCATCACCCCGCCCCGTTCTCCCGTTTTCCATCACCCCGCCCCATTCTCCCCCTTTCCATCACCCCGCCCCATTCTCCCTCTTTTCATCACCTCGCCCCATTCTCCCTCTTTCTATCACCCCACCCCATTCTCCCTCTTTCCAACGCCCCGCCCCATTCTTCCGCTTTTCATCACCCCGCCCCATTCTCCCTCTTTCCATCACCCCGCCCCATTCCCCCTCTTTCCATCAGCCTGCCCCATTCTCCCGCTCTCCATCACCCCGCCCTATTCTCCCTATTTCTATCACCCGGCCCCATTCTCCCGCTATCCATCACCCCGCCCCATTCTCCCGCTTTCCATCACCCCGCCCCATTCTCCCGCTTTCCATCAACCCGCCCGATTCTCCCGCTTTCCATCACCCCAAGCCATTCTCCCTCTTTCCATCACCCCGCCTCATTCTCCCGCTTTCCATCACCCCGCCCCATTCTCCCGCTTTCGATCACCCCGCCCCATTGTCCCTCTTTCCATCACCCCGCCCCATTGTCCCTCTTTCCATCACCCTGCCCCATTCTCCCTATTTCCATCACCCCACCCCATTCTCCCGCTTTCAATCACCCCGCCCCATTCTCCCGCTTTCCATCACCCCGCCCCATTCTCCCGCTTTCCATCACCCCGCCCCATTCTCCCCCTTTCCATCAACCCGCCCCATTCTCCCTCTTTCCATCACCCCGCCCTAATCTCCCTCTTTCCATCACCCCGACCCAATCTCCCGCTTTCCATCACCCCGCCCCATTCTCCCGCTTTCCATCACCCTGCCCCATTCTTCCGCTTTCCATCACCCCGCCCCATTCTCCCTCTTTCCATCTCCCCGCCCTATTCTCCCTCTTTCCATCACCCTGCCCCATTCTCCCGCTTTCCATCACCCAGCCCCATTCTCCTGCTTTCCATCACCCAGCCCCATTCTTCCGCTTTCCATCACCCCGCCCCATTCTCCCTCTTTCCATCACCCCGCCCAATTCTCCCTCTTTCCATCACCCCTCCCCATTCTCCCTCTTTCCATCACCCCGCCACATTCTCCCGCTTTCCATCACCGCGCCTCATTATCCCTCTTTCCATCACCCCGCCCCATTCTCCCGCTTTCCATCACACCGCCCCATTCTCTTGCTTTCCATCACCCCGCCCCATTCTCCCTCTTTCCATCACCCAGCCCTATTCTCCCTCTTTCCATCACCCCGCTCCATTCTCCCGCTTTCCATCACCCCGCCCCATTCTCCCGCTTTCCATCACCCCACCCCATTCTCCCGCTTTCCATCACCCCGCTCCATTCTCCCGCTTTCCATCACCCCGCTCCATTCTCCCTCTTTCCATCATCCCTCCCCATTATCCCTCTTTCCATCACCCCGCCCCATTCTTCCTCTTTCCATCACCCCGCCCCATTCTCCCGCTTTTCATCACCCCGCCCCATTCTCCCTCTTTCCATCACCCCGCCCCATTCTCCCGCTTTCCACCACCCCGCCCCATTCTCCCGGTTTCCATCACCCCGCCCCATTGTCCCTCTTTCCATCACCCCACCCCATTCTCTCGCTTTCCACCACCCCGCTCCATTCTCTTGCTTTCCATCACCCCGCCCAATTCTTTCTCTTTCCATCACCCCGCCCCATTCTCCCTCTTTCCATCACCCCGCCCCATTCTTCGGCTTTCCATCACACCACCCCATTCCCTCGCTTTCCATCACCACGCCCCATTTTCCCTCTTTCCATCACCCCGCCCCATTCTCCCGCTTTCCATCACCCCGCCCCATTCTCCCGCTTTCCATCAACCCGCTCCATTCTCTCGCATTCCATCACCCCGCCCAATTCTCCCTCTTTCCATCACCCCTCCCCATTCTCCCTCTTTCCATCACCCCGCCCCGTTCTCCCGCTTTCCATCACCCCGCCCCATTCTCCCTCTTTCCATCACCCCGCCCCATTCTCCCGCTTTCCATCACCCCGCCCCATTCTCCCTTTTCCATCACCCCGCCCCATTCTCCCGCTTTCCATCACCCAGCCCCATTCTCCCTCTTTCCATCAGCCCGCCCCATTCTCCCGCTTTCCATCACACCACCCCATTCTCCCGCTTTCCATCACCACGCCCCATTTTTCCCTCTTTCCATCACCCCGCCCCATTCTCCCGCTTTCCATCACCCCACCCCATTCTCCCGCTTTCCATCACCCCGCTCCATTCTCCCGCATTCCATCACCCCGCCCAATTCTTCCTCTTTCCATCACCCCTCCCCATTCTCCCTCTTTCCATCACCCCGCCACATTCTCCCGCTTTCCATCACCGCGCCTCATTATCCCTCTTTCCATCACCCCGCCCCATTCTCCCGCTTTCCATCACACCGCCCCATTCTCCCTCTATCCATCACCCCGCCCTATTCTCCCGCTTTCTATCACACCGCCTCATTCTCCCGCTTTCCATCACCCCTCCCCATTCTCCCGCTTTCCATCACCCAGCCCCATTCTCCCGCTTTCCATCACCCCGCCCCATTCTCCCTCTTTCCATCACCCCTCCCTATTCTCCCGCTTTCCATCACCCCGCCCCATTCTCCCGCTTTCCATCACCTCACCCCATTCTTCCGCTTTCCATCACCCCGCTCCATTCTCCCACTTTCTATCACCCCGCCCAGTTCTCCCTCTTTCCATCACCCCTCCCCATTTTCCCTCTTTCCATCACCCCGCCCCATTCTCCCTCTTTCCATCACCCCGCCCCATTCTCCCGCTTTCCATCACCCCGCCCCATTCTCCCTCTTTCCATCACCCCGCCCCATTCTCCCGCTTTCCATCACCCCGCCCCATTCTCCCGCTTTCCATCACCCCGCCCCATTCTCCCGCTTTCCATCACCCCGCCCCATTCTCCCTCTTTCCATCACCCCGCCCCATTCTTCCTCTTTCCATCACCCCGCCCCATTCTCCCCCAATCCATCACCTCGCCCCATTTTCACTCATTCCATCACCCCGTCCCATTCTCCCGCTTTCCATCACCCCGCCCCATTCTCCCGCTTTCCATCACCCCACTCCATTCTCCCGCTTTCCATCACCCTGCCCAATTCTCCCTCTTTCCATCACCCCTCCCCATTCTCCCTCTTTCCATCACCAAGCCCCATTCTCCCGCTTTCCATCACCCCGCCCCATTCTCCCTCTTTCCATCACCCCGCCCCTTTCTTCCTCTTTCCATCACCCCGCCCCATTCTCCCTCTTTCCACCACCCCGCCCCATTCTCCCTCTTTTCATCACCCCGCCCCATTTTCCCGCTTTCCATCACCCCGCCCCATTCTCCCGCTTTCCATCACCCCGCTCCATTGTCCCTCTTTCCATCACCCCGCCCCATTCTTCCGCTTTCCACCACCCCGCTCCATTCGCTTTCTTTCCATCACCCCGCCCAATTCTTCCTATTTCCATCACCCCGCCCCATTCTCCCTCTTTCCATCACCCCGCCCCATTCTCCCGCTTTCCATCACACCACCCCATTCTCCCGCTTTCCATCACCACGCCCCATTTTCCCTCTTTCCATCACCCCGCCCCATTCTCCCGCTTTCCATCACCCCGCCCCATTCTCCTGCTTTCCATCACCCCGCTCCATTCTCCCGCATTCCATCACCCCGCCCAATTCTCCCTCTTTCCATCACCCCTCCCCATTCTCCCTCTTTCCATCACCCCGCCCCATTCTCCCGCTTTCCATCACCCCGCCCCATTCTCCCTTTTCCATCACCCCGCCCCATTCTCCCGCTTTCCATCACCCCGCCCCATTCTCCCTCTTTCCATCACCCCGCCCCATTCTTCCTCTTTCCATCACCCCGCCCCATTCTCCCCCAATCCATCACCTCGCCCCATTTTCACTCATTCCATCACCCCGTCCCATTCTCCCGCTTTCCATCACCCCGCCCCATTCTCCCGCTTTCCATCACCCCACTCCATTCTCCCGCTTTCCATCACCCTGCCCAATTCTCCCTCTTTCCATCACCCCTCCCCATTCTCCCTCTTTCCATCACCAAGCCCCATTCTCCCGCTTTCCATCACCCCGCCCCATTCTCCCTCTTTCCATCACCCCGCCCCTTTCTTCCTCTTTCCATCACCCCGCCCCATTCTCCCTCTTTCCACCACCCCGCCCCATTCTCCCTCTTTTCATCACCCCGCCCCAATTTCCCGCTTTCCATCACCCCGCCCCATTCTCCCGCTTTCCATCACCCCGCTCCATTCTCCCTCTTTCCATCACCCCGCCCCATTCTCCCGCTTTCCATCACCCCGCCCTGTTCTCCCTCTTTCTATCACCCCGCCCCATTCTCCCTCTTTCCATCACCCCGCCCCATTCTCCCGCTTTCTATCACCCCGCCCCACTCTCCATCTTTCCATCACTCCGCCCCATTTTCCCGCCTTCCATCACCCCGCCCCATTCTCCATGCTTCCATCACCCCGCCCCATTCTCCCTCTTTCCATCACCCCGCCGGATTTTTCAGCCTTCCATCACCCAGCCCCATTCTCCCTCTTTACATCACCCCGCCCCATTCTCCCGCTTTCCATCACCCCGCCCCATTCTCCCTCCTTCCATCACCCCGCCCCATTCTCCCTCTATCCATCACCCCGCCCCATTCTCCCGCTTTCCTTCACCCCGTCCCATTTTCCCGCTTTCCATCACCCCGCCCCATTCTCTTTCTTTCCATCACCTCGCCCCATTCTCCCGCTTTCCATCACCCCGCCCCATTCTCCCGCTTTCCATCACCCCGCCCCATTCTCCTGCTTTCCATCACCCTGCCGATTCTCCCGCTTTCCATCATCCCGCCCCATTCTCCCTTTTCCATCACCCCGCCCCATTCTCCCGCTTTCAATCACCCCGCCCCATTCTCCCTCTTTCAATCACCCCGCCACATTCTTCCTCTTTCCATCACCCCGCCCCATTCTCACCCAATGCATCACCTAACCCCATTTTCACTCATTCCATCACCCCGTCCCATTCTCCCGCTTTCCATCACCCCGCCCCATTCTCCCGCTTTCCATCACCCCACTCCATTCTCCCGCTTTCCATCACCCTGCCCAATTCTCCCTCTTTCGATCACCCCTCCCCATTCTCCCTCTTTCCATCACCAAGCCCCATTCTCCCGCTTTCCATCACCCCGCCCCATTCTCCCTCTTTCCATCACCCCGCCCCTTTCTTCCTCTTTCCATCACCCCGCCCCATTCTCCCTCTTTCCACCACCCCGCCCCATTCTCCCTCTTTTCATCACCCCGCCCCATTCTCCCGTTTTCCATCACCCCACCCCATTCTCCCGCTTTCCATCACCCCGCCCCATTCTCCCTCTTTCCATCACCCCGCCCCATTCTCCCGCTTTCCAGCACCCCGCCCTGTTCTCCCTCTTTCCATCACCCCGCCCCAATCTCCCTCTTTCCATCACCCCGCCCCATTCTCCCGCTTTCTATCACCCCGCCCCACTCTCCATCTTTCCATCACTCCGCCCCATTTTCCCGCCTTCCATCACCCTGCCCCATTCTCTATGTTTCCATCACCCCGCCCCATTCTCCCTCTTTCCATCACCCCGCCCGATTCTCCAGCCTTCCATCACCCAGCCCCATTCTCCCTCTTTACATCACCCCGCCCCATTCTCCCGCTTTCCATCACCCCGCCCCATTCTCCCTCTTTCCATCACCCCGCCCCATTCTCCCTCTATCCATCACCCCGCCCCATTCTCCCGCTTTCCTTCACCCCGTCCCATTTTCCCGCTTTCCATCACCCCGCCCCATTCTCTTTCTTTCCATCACCTCGCCCCATTCTCCCGCTTTCCATCACCCCGCCCCATTCTCCCGCTTTCCATCACCCCGCCCCATTCTCCTGCTTTCCATCACCCTGCCCATTCTCCCGCTTTCCATCACCCTGCCCCATTCTCCCTCTTTCCATCACCCCGCCCCATTCTCCCGCTTTCCATCACCCCGCTCCATTCTCCCGCTTTCCATCACCCCGCCCAATTCTCCCTACTTCCATCACCCCTCCCCATTCTCCCTCTTTCCATCACCCCGACCGATTCTCCCTCTTTCCATCACCCCGCCCCATTCTCCCTGTTTCCATCACCCCGCCCCATTCTCCCGCTTTCCTTCACCCCGTCCCATTCTCCCGCTTTCCATCACCCCGCCCCATTCTCCCTCTTTCCATCACCCCGCCCCATTCTCCCTCTATCCATCACCCCGCCCCATTCTCCCGCTTTCCTTCACCCCGTCCCATTTTCCCGCTTTCCATCACCCCGCCCCATTCTCTTTCTTTCCATCACCTCGCCCCATTCTCCCGCTTTCCATCACCCCGCCCCATTCTCCCGCTTTCCATCACCCCGCCCCATTCTCCTGCTTTCCATCACCCTGCCCATTCTCCCGCTTTCCATCACCCCGCCCCATTCTCCCTCTTTCCATCACCCCGCCCCATTCTCCCGCTTTCCATCACCCCGCTCCATTCTCCCGCTTTCCATCACCCCGCCCAATTCTCCCTACTTCCATCACCCCTCCCCATTCTCCCTCTTTCCATCACCCCGACCTATTCTCCCTCTTTCCATCACCCCGCCCCATTCTCCCTGTTTCCATCACCCCGCCCCATTCTCCCGCTTTCCTTCACCCCGTCCCATTTTCCCGCTTTCCATCACCCCGCCCCATTCTCTTTCTTTCCATCACCTCGCCCCATTCTCCCGCTTTCCATCACCCCGCCCCATTCTCCCGCTTTCCATCACCCCGCCCCATTCTCCTGCTTTTTATCACCCTGCCCATTCTCCCGCTTTCCATCACCCCGCCCCATTCTCCCTTTTCCATCACCCCGCCCCATTCTCCCGCTTTCCATCACCCCGCCCCATTCTCCCTCTTTCCATCACCCCGCCCCATTCTTCCTCTTTCCATCACCCCGCCCCATTCTCACCCAATCCATCACCTCGACCCATTTTCACTCATTCCATCACCCGTCCCATTCTCCCGCTTTCCATCACCCCGCCCCATTCTCCCGCTTTCCATCACCCCACTCCATTCTCCCGCTTCTCATCACCCTGCCCAATTCTCCCTCTTTCCATCACCCCTCCCCATTCTCCCTCTTTCCATCACCAAGCCCCATTCTCCCGCTTTCCATCACCCCGCCCCATTCTCCCTCTTTCCATCACCCCGCCCCTTTCTTCCTCTTTCCATCACCCCGCCCCATTCTCCCTCTTTCCACCACCCCGCCCCATTCTCCCTCTTTTCATCACCCCGCCCCATTCTCCCGTTTTCCATTACCCCGCCCCATTCTCCCGCTTTCCATCACCCCGCCCCATTCTCCCTCTTTCCATCACCCCGCCCCATTCTCCCGCTTTCCATCACCCCGCCCTGTTCTCCCTCTTTCCATGACCCCGCCCCATTCTCCCTCTTTCCATCACCCCGCCCCATTCTCCCGCTTTCTATCACCCCGCCCCACTCTCCATCTTTCCATCACTCCGCCCCATTTTCCCGCCTTCCATCACCCCGCCCCATTCTCCATGCTTCCATCACCCCGCCCCATTCTCCCTCTTTCCATCACCCCGCCCGATTCTCCAGCCTTACATCACCCAGCCCCATTCTCCCTCTTTACATCACCCCGCCCCATTCTCCCGCTTTCCATCACCCCGCCCCATTCTCCCTCTTTCCATCACCCCGCCCCATTCTCCCTCTATCCATCACCCCGCCCCATTCTCCCGCTTTCCTTCACCCCGTCCCATTTTCCCGCTTTCCATCACCCCGCCCCATTCTCTTTCTTTCCATCACCTCGCCCCATTCTCCCGCTGTCCATCACCCCGCCCCATTCTCCCGCTTTCCATCACCCCGCCCCATTCTCCTGCTTTCCATCACCCCGCCCCATTCTCCCGCTTTCCATCACCCCGCTCCATTCTCCCGCTTTCCATCACCCCGCCCAATTCTTCCTACTTCCATCACCCCTCCCCATTCTCCCTCTTTCCATCACCCCGATCTATTCTCCCTCTTTCCATCACCCCGCCCCATTCTCCCTGTTTCCATCACCCCGCCCCATTCTCCCTCTTTCCGTCACCCCGCCACATTATCCCTCTTTCCATCACCCTGCCCTATTCTCCCTGTTTCCATCACCCTGCCTCATTCTCCCTATTTCCATCACCCCGCCCCGTTCCCCCGCTTTCCATCACCCCGCCCAATTCTCCCGCTTTCCATCACCCCGCCCCATTCTCCCACTTTCCATCACCCCGTCCCGTTATCCCGCTTCCCATCACCCCACCCCGTTCTCCCGCTTTCCATCACCCTGCCCCGTTCTCCCGTTTTCCATCACCCCGCCCCGTTCTCCCTCTTTCCATCACCCCAGTCATTCTCCCGTTTTCCATCACCCCTCCCCATTCTCCCTCTTTCCATCACCCCGCCCCATTCTCCCTTTTTCCATCACCTCGCCCCATTCTCCCGCTTTCTATCACCCCGCCCCATTCTCCTGCTTTCTATCACCCAGCTCCATTCTCCCGCTTTCCATCACCCCGCCTAATTCTCCCTCTTTCCATCACTCCTCCCCATTCTCCCTCTTTCCATCACCCCGCCCCATTCTCCCGCTTTCCATCACCCCGCCCCATTCTCCCGCTTTCCATCACCCCAAGCCATTCTCCCTCTTTCCATCACCCCGCCTCATTCTCCCGCTTTCCACCACCCCGCCCCATTCTCCCGCTTTCCATCACCCCGCCCCATTGTCCCTCTTTCCATCACCCCGCCCCATTCTCCCTCTTTCCATCACCCTGCCCCATTCTCCCTCTTTCCATCACCCCACCCCATTCTCCCGCTTTCAATCACCCCGCCCCATTCTCCCCCTTTTCATCACCCCGCCCCATTCTCCCGCTTTCCATCACCCCGCCCCATGCTCCCGCCTTCCATCAACCCGCCCCATTCTCCCTCTTTCCATCACCCCGCCCTAATCTCCCTCTTTCCATCACCCTGACCCATTCTCCCGCTTTCCATCACCCCGCCCCATTCTCCCGCTTTCCATCACCCCGCCCCATTCTTCCGCTTTCCATCACCCCGCCCCATTCTCCCTCTTTCCATCTCCCCGCCCCATTCTCCCTTTCTCCATCACCCCGCCCCATTCTCCCGCTTTCCATCACCCCGCCCCATTCTCCCGCTTTCAATCACCCCGCCCCATTCTTCCGCTTTCCATCACCCCGCCCCATTCTCCCTGTTTCCATCAGCCCGCCCCATTCTCCCTCTTTCCATCACCCCGCCCCATTCTCCCGCTTTCCTTCATCCCGCCCCATTCTCTCGCTTTCCATCACCCCGCCCTATTCTCCCTCTTTCCATCACCCTGCCCCATTCTCCCGCTTTCCATCACCCAGCCCCATTCTCCTGCTTTCCATCACCCAGCCCCATTCTCCCGCTTTCCATCACCCCGCTCCATTCTCCCTCTTTCCATCACCCCGCCCAATTCTCCCTCTTTCCATCACCCCTCCCCATTCTCCCTCTTTCCATCACCCCGCCACATTCTCCCGCTTTCCATCACCGCGCCTCATTATCCCTCTTTCCATCACCCCGCCCCATTCTCCCGCTTTCCATCACCCCGCCACATTCTCCCTCTTTCCATCACCCCGCCCTATTCTCCCTCTTTCCATCACCCCGACCCATTCTCCCGCTTTCCATCACCCCACCCCACTCTCCCGCTTTCCATCACCCCACCCCATTCTCCCGCTTTCCATCACCGCGCTCCATTCTCCCGCTTTCCATCACCCCGCCCAGTTCTCCCTCTTTCCATCACCCCTCCCCATTCTCCCTCTTTCCATCACCCCGCCCCATTCTCCCTCTTTCCATCACCCCGCCCCATTCTCCCGCTTTCCATCACCCTGCCCCATTCTCCCTCTTTCCATCACCCCGCCCCATTCTCCCGCTTTCCATCACCCCGCCCCATTCTCCTGCTTTCCATCACCCTGCCCCATTGTCCCTCTTTCCATCACCCCGCCCCATTCTCCCGCTTTCCACCACGCCGCTCTATTCTCTTGCTTTCCATCACCCCGCCCAATTCTCCCTCTTTCCATCACCCCTCCCGATTCTCCCTCTTTCCATCACCTCGCCCCATTCTCCCGCTTTCCATCACCCCGCCCCATTCTCCCTCTTTCCATCACTCCGCCCCATTGTCCCGCTGTCCATCACACCACCCCATTCTCCCGCTTTCCATCACCATGCCCCATTTTCCCTCTTTCCATCACCCCGCCCCATTCTCCCGCATTCCATCACCCCGCCCCGTTCTCCCGCTTTCCATCACACCGCTCCATTCTCCCGCATTCCATCACCCCGCCCAATTCTCCCTCTTTCCATCACCCCTCTCCATTCTCCCTCTTTCCATCACCCCGCCCCATTCTCCCGCTTTCCATCACCCCGCCCCATTCTCCCTCTTTCCATCACCCCGCCCCATTCTCCCGCTTTCCATCACCCCGCCCCATTCTCCCTTTTCCATCACCCCGCCCCATTCTCCCGCTTTCCATCACCCCGCCCCATTCTCCCTCTTTCCATCACCCCGCCCCATTCTTCCTCTTTCCATCACCCCGCCCCATTCTCCCCCAATCCATCACCTCGCCCCATTTTCACTCTTTCCATCACTCCGCCCCATTGTCCCGCTGTCCATCACACCACCCCATTCTCCCGCTTTCCATCACCATGCCCCATTTTCCCTCTTTCCATCACCCCGCCCCATTCTCCCGCATTCCATCACCCCGCCCCGTTCTCCCGCTTTCCATCACACCGCTCCATTCTCCCGCATTCCATCACCCCGCCCAATTCTCCCTCTTTCCATCACCCCTCTCCATTCTCCCTCTTTCCATCACCCCGCCCCATTCTCCCGCTTTCCATCACCCCGCCCCATTCTCCCTCTTTCCATCACCCCGCCCCATTCTCCCGCTTTCCATCACCCCGCCCCATTCTCCCTTTTCCATCACCCCGCCCCATTCTCCCGCTTTCCATCACCCCGCCCCATTCTCCCTCTTTCCATCACCCCGCCCCATTCTTCCTCTTTCCATCACCCCGCCCCATTCTCCCCCAATCCATCACCTCGCCCCATTTTCACTCATTCCATCACCCCGTCCCGTTCTCCCGCTTTCCATCACCCCGCCCTATTCTCCCGCTTTCCATCACCCCGCTCCATTCGCCCCTATAAAAGCGTCAACTCCCCTATAAGAGGGTGAATGGGGCGTATGAAAGCGTCAGCTCTCATATAAAAGCGTCAATTCCCCTATAAGAGCGTCAACTCCCCTAAAAAAGCGTCAACTCTCATATAAGAGTGTCAACCCCCCTATCAGAGCGTCAACTCCCCTATAAGAGCGTCAACTTCCCTATAAGAGCGTCATTTTCCCTATAAGATCGTCAACTCTCCTATAAAAACAACAACTCCCCTATAAAAGCGTCAACTCTCCTATAAGAGCGTCAACTCTCCTAAAAGAACGTCAACTCTCCCATAAATGCAACAACTCTCATATAAGAGTGTCAACTCCCCTATAAGAGCGTCAACTCCCCTATAAGAGCGTCAACTCCCCTACAAGAGCTTCAACTCCACTATAAAAGCATCAACTCCCCTAAAAAAGCATCAACTCTTATATAAGAGCGTCAACTCCCCTATAAGAGCGTCCACTCCCCTATAAGAGCGTCGACTTCCCTATAAGAGCGTCAACTCCCCTATAAGAGCGTCAACTCCCCTATAAAAGCGCCAACTCCCCTATAAAAGCATCAGCTCTCTTATATGTGCGTCAACACTCTTATAAGAGCGTCAACTCCCCCATAAAAGCGTCAACTCTCATATAAAAGCATCAACTCCCCTATAAAAGCGTCAAATCCCCTATAAGAGCGTCAACTCCCCTATAAGAGCGTCAACTCCCCTATAAGAGCGTCAACTCCCCTCAAAAAGCGTCAACTCCCCTATAAAAGCGTCAACTTTCATATAAGAGCATCAACTCCCCTATAATAGCGTCAACTCCCCTATAAAAGCGTCAACTTCCCAATAAGAGTGTCAACTCCCCTAAAAATGTGTCAATGTTGAGATAGTAGGTAGTGTGAGAAGCCATAGCTAGGAGAACCCTAGCTAGGCAAGCGAGAAATAGGCAAAGGAGGAGGTTCACTAGCAGTAGGAGGGATACATATAGCAAACCCTAACAGGGTTGTACTCGCTATAGAGCACCCCACTACAGGCTAGAGCACAATATTCTGACACACCCCCATAGCCAAAGTGGGGTGTAATAAGCAGAGCAAGCAAAGCAATTCAAGCTCAGGGTGGATCACAATGTCACCACACATTCTGAGCACAAGTTCAAGAAGCAATAGTTTAAAGTTCACAATTATCAGCAAAGCTAGTGGTAGTCACAACGGGCAAGTGAGGAGGAGGAGGGACAGTGAGAAGAGAGGAGATGGGAGGCGGCGGCTGAAGCTGCAGACACACGGACAACAGGAGTGGCGAGCACAGTGGCTATCGGACCAAGTCGCCGGACTACAGGAGTAACTGGCTCCGCGGCTAAGACGAGCGGCAGGAGCTACGGACCCACAGGCAACTGGCGCAGCGACGAGCTCTCTGGGCTACCGGGACAGCGCCCCGGACTACAGGTGCTGCGGACGACAAGACGGCAGCCTCCGATCAACCTCCCGCAAACAGTCCCACCCCCCTGACACACACCCGCTGCTACACCCCTAGCTCCACTCCCCCTTCACCCCCCCCTTAGTACCACTCCGACGGCTCCAACAGGTCCACCCCACCTCAGCGGCAGCTGCAGCACAGGGAGACGGAGGAGTAGGAGGAGCAAGGAACGGCTTCAGTGGCTTCACCCCCATACCCCTCACCCCGAAACCCTAATTCAGGGGAACGGGCTGTAGGAGGGGTGGGGCGCCAGTAGAAGCACGGGGGACAGTGGGGAGGGCAAGGGCAGCGAGGAACGGGCCGCCCACGGGCCTGGCACAGCCGCCCGAACCGCGCGCAGGTGGCCCGAGCCGCGCGCGGGCCTGGCGCTTCCTGTACGGGCCGCGCGCGGGCCTGGCGCAGCCCGTACGGGCCGCGCGCGGGCCTGGCGCAGCCCGTACGGGCCGTGCGCAGGCCTAACGAAACCCGTACGGGCCGCGCGCCGGCTGTACGGGCCGCGCGCAGGCCACGACGGGCGACGGGGGGCGACGCGCAGCTCCCCGTCGCCCGTCGCATCGCCTCCCGAGGGCGACGCGGCGAGTGACGGGGCAGAAGCCCATCGCGCGCGTCGGGGCGCACAACGGGCAGAGAACCGCCGCTCGCCCCAGGGCGCACGGCGGGCAGAAAACCGCCGCGCGCCTCGGGGCGCACGGCAGGAAGAAAAACTGCCGCATGCCACGGGGCGTGCGGCACTGAGAGTAGCAGTAGTAGTTGCAGCGGAAGCAACGAGGTGGTGAGCCTACCCACAGGATCGATCCAAGGGGATTGACCTGCTCTGATAGCATGTTGAGATAGTAGGTAGTGTGAGAAGCCATAGCTAGGAGAACCCTAGCTAGGCAAGCGAGAAATAGGCAAAGGAGGAGGTTCACTAGCAGCAGCAGGGATACATATAGCAAACCCTAACAGGGTTGTACTCGCTATAGAGCACCCCACTACAAGCTAGAGCACAATATTCTGACAGTCAACTCCCATGTAAAGGCGTCAACTCTCATATAAGAGAGTCAACTTCCCTATAAGAGCGTCAACTCCCCTATAGGAGCATCAAATTCCCTATAAGAGTGTCAACTCCCCTATAAGAGCGTCAACTCCCCTATTAAAGCGTCAACTACCCTATAAAAGCGTCAGCTCTCCTATAAATGCGTCAACTCTCCTATCAACTCCCCCATAAAAGCGTCAATTCTCATATAAAAGCATCAACTCTCCTATAGGAGCGTCAACTCCCCTACAAGAGTGTCAACTCCCCTAAGAGAGTGTCAACTTCCCTATAAGAGCGTCAACTCCCCTATAAAAGCGTCAACTCTACTATAAGAGCGTCAACTCCCCTATAAGAGCGTCAACTCCCCCATAAAAGCGTCAACTCTCATATAAAAGCGTCAACACCCCTATAAGAGCGACAAATCCCCTATAAGAGCGTCAACTCTGCTATACGAGCGTCAACTCCCCTATAAGAGCGTCAATTTCCCTATGAGAGCGTCAACTCCCCTATAAGAGCGTCAACTCCCCTATAAGAGCGTCAACTCCCCTATAAAAGCGTCAACTCTCATATATAAGCGTCAACTCCCCTATATGAGCGTCAACTCCCCTATATGAGCGTCAACTCCCCTATCAAATCGTCAACTCCCCTATAAAAGCGTCAGCTCTCCTATGAGAGCGTCAACTCTCCCATATAATGCACATGTGTAGAGAAAATGGTGCATCGGCAAGTCTGGCCGTCATGCGCACTTATAGTGCAAGTGGGGCTAGGGAGGATTAAAACGCTCAAATCTCACAAAGTACATGGACTCTAGCGGTCTCACTCGATCAAAAGGTGTGAAATATATTTATCTAGACAACGAACAAGGTCTGAAAGGTATCAAACGCACACGTATAGAGAAAATAATGCATTGGCAAGGCAGGTCGGTATGGGAACTTAGAGTGCAAGTGCCTATAAGAATGGAAACGCTCAGATTTTGAAAAGTGCAAGAAATCTAGCAGTCTCACTTGATCGGAAGGTAGGAAATAAATTGGTCTAGTGAACTAACAAGGCTTGAATGGTATATAACGCACATGTGTAGAGAAAATGGTGCATCGGTCAGTCTGGACGTCATGCGCAATTATGGTGCAAGCGGGGATAGGGAGGATTAAAATGCTCAAATCTCACAAATTACATGGAATCTAGCGGTCTCACTCGATCAAAACATGTGAAATATATTAATCTAGACAACGAACAAGGTTTGAAAGGTATCTAACGCACACGTATAGAGAAAATGGTGCATTGGCGAGGCAGGTCGGTATGGGAACTTAGAGTGCAGGTGCCTATGAGAATGGAAACGGGGGTGGCAGGTGTGTGGCCTCCCCTGCTTCTCCTCCTCCTTCATCGCTCACCTGCAGCAGCCGAGCCGCCCCACTGCCGAGCCGCCCTGCACCCGAGCCGCCCAGCAGCCGAGCCGCCCTGCCGCCGAGCCGCCGGGTCGCTGAGCTGCTGAGCTGCAGTTGCTGCCGAGCCGCCCTGCCGCCGAGCCGCCGAGTCACCGAGCTGCTGAGCTGCAGTTGCTGCCGAGCCGCCTTGCCGCCGAGCCGCCCGAGTCGCCCGAGCCGCCGAGCCGCCGAGCTGCCGAGCCGCTGAGTCGCCGAGCCTACTCTTCCCACCACTGGTGAGCTCTTGCCCTGCTAGCACGCTCACGTCGCCTGCTTGCCTGCCTGCCTGCCTTTTGGCTTGCCTGGCTGCCTGCCTTCCTGCTGCTAGTCCTGCTCCTGCTTCTACTTGCGGAGCCAGATGCAGCCCCAGCGACGCCTGCGTGAGTCCCTCACGCCCCAGCAGCTGCGTGAGTGGTACGCTGGTTGGGGCTGTAGGGGTGGCGACGCTACTCCTACTTCCACTCCTGCTGCTTCTACTCGTGGTGGCGGCCAGATGCAGCTCCCGCGACCCTCTCGCGTGTTTCTCACGCCTCGCCAGCTTCGTGAGTGGTACGCTCAGAGTGGAGGGTCTCTCAGTGCTGTTCGCTGCTCTTACGTGATTCGCACTGGTACTCAGACTGGTCAGCCTTGTGGGACACGTAGTCATACACAGTCCCGCTGCTTCGCCCGTCTGAGCGACGCCTGGCGTACCGTGTTTGGCGACGAGGCTGAGCTTCCCGACTGGGTGGAGTTGCTTAGGCAGAGGGTAGATATATATGCTCTTGACTATGATGCTATTCTCACTGCCATGTATGCATTGCCTACTAGTGCTGACCGTGCCGGTCACCTGTGCGTCCCGCCTGACCCAGGTATAGGACCTGCTGCTCTAGCTACTGGTGAGGCTGCTGCTCTGGGTGCTAGTGAGTCTCCTGCTCCAGGTACAGGTGCGGCTTCTGCTCTAGGTGCTAGTGAGTCTGCTTCCTCAGGTGCGGGTGAGGCTGCGCTCTCAGGTACCGCGTTGGCTTCGGCCTCCCTCACCTTTACACTTGACTCTGGGGCTTCTCGCTCCTTCTTTCGGGACCGCACCACACTCACGCCGCTTGGTCGGCCGGTTGCTGTCTCCCTGGCTGACCCCTCTGGGGGTCCTGTCCTCGCTCACTTCTCCACTGTCCTCCCGTGTCCGGCTGCCCCCTCGGGCACCCTGTCTGGCCTGTACCTCCCCTCGTTCTCGACGAACTTGGTGAGTGGTGCAGACCTACAGGATGCGGGGGTTCACCAGTTCACTCCTGCGAGTCAGCGGGTGACCCACTGCACGGACGCACGCACAGGCCGGCACCTGGCCACGTTCTCGCGTCGGCCGGGGTCGAGCCTCTACACCCTGACCACTGAGTCTCCTCCTGTCCCCGCGTCCGGTCAGGTAGCAGCGTCGGGTCAGGTGTTTGCTGCTACGTCCAGGTCTGGTCCTGAGTCTGCCCCCTGTTCGTGTCGCCTCCTGTCTCACGAGACTCTTCTGTGGCACCACCGTCTAGGCCACCCCTCCTTGCCCCGTCTTCGGGGCATGGCTTCCCGTGTCCTTGTCTCTGGTCTTCCCCAGTCTCTCCCTCCCCTTCCTTCGGGACCAGGACCTTCCTGTGTCCCCTGTGTCGAGGGGCGCCTCAGGGCTGCTCCTCACTCCTCCCAGTTTCCCCCGACAGAGGCTCCTCTGCAGACGCTTCACATGGACGTGTGGGGCCCGGCCCCCGTCCGTGGGCAGGGTCACGAGCGCTACTTCCTGTTGGTGGTTGACGACTACTCGCGTTACACCTCAGTCTTCCCCTTGCGCAGCAAGGGTGCTGTCACTGAGGTGCTGATCGACTGGATCCGCAAGGCTCGTCTCCAGCTCAGGAGGAGCTTCGGCTTGGACTTTCCTGTTCTGCGTCTGCACTCTGACCGAGGTGGGGAGTTCTCCTCTCGCCTTCTGCGAGACTACTGTCGTGCACAGGGGATCCGCCAGACCTTTACGCTTCCTGACTCTCCACAGCAAAATGGGATTGCTGAGCGCCGCATTGGCATGGTCATGGATGTCGCTCGTACGTCCATGATGCATGCGGCTGCCCCCCATTTTCTGTGGCCGTTTGCGGTTTGGTACGCGGCGCATCAGCTCAACCTTCACCCCAGGGTCTCTCGGCCCGCGATGTCCCCAGTGTTACTGTGGACGGGGAAGGTCGGCGATGCGTCTGCGTTCCGTGTCTGGGGATCTCGGGCGTTTGTCCGCGACTTGTCTGCGGACAAGCTGTCCCCCCGTGCTGCTCCCTGTGTCTTCCTTGGCTTCCCCCCTGACGCTCCAGGGTGGCAGTTCTACCACCCCTCCTCTCGTCGTGTTCTGTCCTCCCAGGACGTCACGTTCGACGAGTCAGTCCCCTTCTACCGCCTCTTCCCCTACCGTACTCCTTCCCTCCCCCCCCCACCGGACTTCGAGGTACCAGTTCCCCCCCCGGTAGACCCCCTCCCCCCTCAGGTTCCTGCCCCTTCAGGTGTGTCCCAGGTAGACACGGTCGAACCAGTCGAGGTTGCTGCTGAGTCTGGTCCTGCTGCGGGTGCTGAACCTGGGGGTGCTGCTGCTGGGGGTGCTGAGCCTGGGGGTGCTGAGCATGGGGGTGCGAGGCCGGGGGGTGCTGAGTCTGGGGGTGCTGAGCCGGGGGGTGCTGAGCCGGAGGGTGCTACGTCAGGAGCTGCTGAGCCTGGGGGTGCTGGGCCTGGAGGTGCGGAGCCTGCGTCTGCTGGACCTGGGGGCTCTCCGGTTCTTCTGTCTCGGCGGGAGCCGCTCTCTCCACAGGAGCTGCGCGAGTGGTTTGCTCGCCGCTGGAGGCGTGCTGCTGGAGCTGGAGCTTCTTCGCCTGCTGAGGGTGCTGCCGGTCCCGGAGCTGCTGGGCCTGCGAGTCCTACTGGAGCTGGAGCTACTGAGTCGGGGGGTGCTGAGTCTGGAGCTGCTGAGCCTGGAGGTGCTGAGTCTGGAGCTGCTGAGCCTGGGGGTGCTACGTCTGGAGCTGCTGTGCCTGGGGGTGCTGAGTCTGGAGCTGCTGAGCCTGGGGTTTCTCCTGCTGCTGCGTCTCGCCGGGAGCCACTGTGCTCAAGCCTGGGCCTCCCAGTGTGGGGGGGTGTCAGTAGAGCTACACTGTGAGATCCCCGATCGATCCTAGGGGGGGTTACAGGCGCGTTTGCCTGGGGGGTTATGGGCGCACTGACCTGCTACTGAAACAAGCCCTTTTATCCCAATGGTCTAGTGGTTGGGATTCTGACATGGTATCAGAGCGGTCTCGGGTTCGAATCCCGGTGCATGCACATGTAGGCCGTTGCCACTGTGCGCAGTCCTGGGCCTCCCAGTGTGGGGGGGTGTCAGTAGAGCTACACTGTGAGATCCCCGATCGATCCTAGGGGGGGTTACAGGCGCGTTTTCCTGGGGGGTTATGGGCGCACTGACCCGCTACTGAAACAAGCCCTTTTATCCCAATGGTCTAGTGGTTGGGATTCTGACACAAGTGCCTTGGAGAACGGAAACGCCCAGATTTTGAAAATTACCGGGAATCTAGCGGTCTCATTTGATCAGAAGGTACATGGAATGTAGCGGTCTCACTCAATCAAAAGATGTGAAATTTATTACTCTAGAGAACAAAAGGGTCTGAAAGGTATTTAACGCACACGTGTAGAGAAAATGGTGCATTGGCGAGGCAGGTCAGTATGGGAACTTAGAGTGCAAGTGCCTAGGAGACTGGAAACGCTCAGATTTTGAAAAGTTCGGGGAAGCTAGCAGTCTCACTTGATCAGAAGGTAGGAAGTAAATTAGTCTAGTGAATTAATAAGGCTTGAATGGTTTATAGCGCACATGTGTAGAGAAAATGGTGCGTCGGCAAGTCTGGCCGTCATGCGCACTTATAGTGCAAGCGGGGCTAGGGAGAATTAAAACGCTCAAATCTCACAAAGTACATAGAATCTAGCTGTCTTACTTGATCACAAGATGTAAAATATCTTAATCTAGAGAACAAAGGGGTTTGCAAGGTATCTAACGCACACGTATAGAGAAAATGGTGCATTGGCGAGGCAGGTCGGTATGGGAACTTAGAGTGCAAGTGCCTAGCACGATGGAAACGCCTAGATTTCAAAAAGGTAGAAAGTAAATTAGTCTAGTGAACTAATAAGGCTTGAATGGTATATAACGCACATGTGTAAAGAAAATTGTGCATCGGCCAGTCTGGTCGTCATGCGCACTTATAGTGCAAGTGGGGCTAGGGAGGATTAAAACGCTCAAATCTCACAAAGTACATGGAATCTAGCGGTCTCACTCGATCAAAAGATGTTAAATATATTTATATGGAGAACGAACAAGGTTTGAAAGGTATCTAACGCACACGTATAGAGAAAATGGTGCATTGGCGAGGCAGGTCGGTATGGGAACTTAGAGTGCAAGTGCCTAGCACATTGGAAACGCCCGGATATTGAAAAGTCCAGGGAATCTAGCGGTCTCACTTGATCAAAAGGTAGAAAGTAAATTATTCTAGTGAACTAATAAGGCTTGAATGGTATATAACGCACTTGTGTAAAGAAAATGGTGCATCGGCCAGTCTGGTCGTCATGCGCGCTTATAGTGCAAGTGGGGCTAGGGAGGATTAAAACGCTCAAATCTCACAAAGTACATAAAATCTAGCGGTCTCACTCGATCAAAAGATGTGAAATATATTTATATATAGAATGAACAAGGTTTGAAAGGTATCTAACGCACACGTATAGAGAAAATGGTGCATTGGCGAGGCAGGTCGGTATGGGAAGTTAGACTGCAAGTGCCTAGGAGAACGGAAACGCCCAGATTTTGAAAAGTCCAGGGAATCTAGCGGTCTCACTTGATCAAAAGGTAGAAAGTAAATTGGTCTACTGAACTAATTAGGCTTGAATGGTATATAACGCACATGTGTAGAGAACATGGTGCATCGGCCAATCTGGCCGTCATGCGCACTTATAGTGCAAGTGGGGCTAGGAAGGATTAAAACACTCAAATCTCACAAAGTATATGAAATCTATCGATCTCACTTGATAAAAAGATGTGAAATATATTAATCTAGAGAATGAACAAGGTTTGAAAGGTGTCTAACGTAGACGTATAGAGAATATGGTGCATTGGCGAGGCAGGTCGGTATGGGAACTTAGAGTGCAAGTGCCTAGGAGAATGGAAACGCGCAGATTTTGAAAGGTGCAGGGAATCTAGCGGTCTTACTTGATTAGAAGGTATGAAATAAATTAGTATTGTGAACTAGTTGAGGAAAACTGAACGAGAATGAATGAACTATGAAATGAAGTGAGTACAAATATGAAACCCTAATTGTGTTGTACCCTCTATGGGATACCCCACTATAGCCTACAGAAACGAGTAAGCTATAATGTTCTGACACACCCCCATAGGCAAAGTGGGGGAGAACAAGGGGTCACAAGACCAGTCAAGCAAAGCAAAGCAAAGCTCAAGGTGGATCACAAAGTCACCACACATTCCGAGCACAAGTTCGAGGGCCACAAGGCCAGTTCACATGCAGGATCATATATATTAAGATATACAAGAGTCAAGCCAGTAAGAGCAAGAGTATATATAGGTGAAGGTACAAGCAAAGTCAAGAAGTGAGCAAGTGAGGCAAGACAGGCACAAGACCCAGCTGCGTGCAACAACGCTGATGATCACAAGGCGCAAGTGCCTTGGTGAAAACATCAGCAGTGTTGGCCTCAGAGGCCACGTACGCAAGTCGCAACTGTCCACGCTGCTGTAGCTCACGAGCAAGAAAGTAGCGGAGAGCAATGTGCTTTGTCCTGTGCTCCAGTCGCTGCTCTCGACACAAGGCCAGCATGGCCTTGTTGTCTACGTACAGGACTGGAGGAGAACGAGGCGGCTCTCCAAGGTCGGTCAGCAGGTAGGTGAGCCAGCGTAACTCCTGTGCAGCCATAGCCCCGGCGTAGATCTCAGCCTCACAACTGGAGCCGAGAAGAGAAGACGAGCGGGTAGCCCGCCACGAAACAGAGCCGGAACCAAGGCTGAAGGTGTAACCCTGTGACGACCGCTGCGTAGCCTGGTCGTCAGCCCAAGAAGCGTCCGCGTGCCCAGTGAGGACCACTGGACTGCGCCCTCCAAGCACTAGCCCCATGCCCGACGTACTGCACAAGTAGCGCAACACCCTCTTCGCTGCAGCCATGTGCTCTGGTCGGTGTCTCCCAGGAGCAACATAGCGTGCGAGAATGCTAAAAGGGTATGCAAGGTCAGGACGTGTGTAGGTCATCAGGTACATGAGGCAGCCAACAAGCTCTGCATATGGACCACTCGACTCTACGGACTCATCCGAAGGCAGAGCTGAGAGCGAGTGGCGAGTAGGCAGAGGAGTGGCCTGAGGCGAGGAGTACGTGAAGCCGAAGCGCTGAAGGACCTGCTGCACCATGTGTGACTGAGTCAGGGTAATGGTGCGGCGTGCTCTGTCCCGAGTGATCTGCAAGCCAAGGTAGCTGCGCAGTTCACCCAGGTCAGTGCACGTGTGTCTCTTCTGCAGCTCGGACTTCACGTAGGCGAGTCCAGCAGTGTCAGCTGTGGCAAAGACCAAGTCCTCGACGTACACAAGGATGTAGAACGGCGGCAGAGAGGTGTCGGTGCGCAGAAACAGCGACGGGTCGGCAGTAGAAGGAGCAAACCCAAGTGCCGACAGCGTAGTCCTCAGTGTGTCGTGCCACTCACGTGGCGCCTGGCGGAGACCGTAGACTGGACGCCGGAGACTCCACTGGGTACCAGGAGGGAAAGACCCAGTGAAGCCAGGAGGGCGGCGCAGCCAGATCTCCTCGTGCAGGCTGCCCTGCAAGAAAGCAGTGCTGAAGTCGAGAGAGTGCAGCTCGTAGTCACGGTGAGCAGCGACGTGTAGTAGTACCCGAAGAGTGGTCATCTTCGGGGTCGGGAGAAGGTCTGAAAGAAGTCAACTCCCTGCCGCTGACTGAAACCACGAGCCACGTACCGCGCCTTGAAGACAGGCGGAGAACCCGGCGGCCGCTTCACCCTGAAGATCCACATGCCACTGACGATGTTCGCCCCAGGAGGGGGAACAGCGTCAACGTAGGTGCCTGTGGACTTCCAGGAAGCCATCTCTTCATCCATAGCTGCCTGCCACTGAGAGGAGTAGGAACCCTCTATCGCCTCCGCGTACGAGCGCGGAGTCGGGATGTCAAGTGCATCCGGGTCTCCCTCAGGGGCTAGCAGTACAGACGCGAGATGAGGTGAAGCGGCGGCCAGACACTTGAACTCCTCCTGCCTGTCCTCGAGGACGTCCGTGCCAAGGGCACACTCACCCCCGACGGACGGAGGACAGGCAGACTCAGACTCAGCGACAAGACTAGCAGCGTAGTCTAGACGACAGCGCGCAGCAAAGTCGACGAGCTCAGTGACAAGGGAAGACGTAGCAGACGACTCAAAAGAAGGGTCAGTGACAGCAGTAGCAAGGAGACGCGTGATAGTAGGACTGGCAGCACGAAGAGAGTCCGACTCCGGGTCGGCAAGAGCAGGAAGAGAGGAAGCAGGAGGAGAAGGCAAAGGGGCACGCAGAGGAGGAGTGGACGGACACAGAGACATCCGGTGCGTGCCAAGGACAGGAGGAGGACGCTGACGCGAACCGCGACCACCAGTGCGCGCAGTACAAACAGGCGACGCAGGACGAGACGCAGGCTCACGACGCTCAGTAAGACCTCCAGTCGGACCAGCGTAGGGAGAAGGAGCAGGCAAATGGGAGGCAGGTTGTAGCTGTGACTGTGACGAGACAGGCTGTGGACCCTCTAAGGGAGGAGGAGGAGGACCAGGAGAAGGTGTAAGACCAAGAACCTGCTGCAGGAGCGGAACGAAGTACGGTCGGGGCCGCGTGGCGACGCCAGAAACAGCAGAGACAGCACCTGTACCCCCAGCAGGAGTACCCGCTCCAGCAGCACCCCTAGCAGCTCCAGAACCTCCAGCAGCACCACCAGGAGCACTGCCAGTCGGACCGCCAGCGGTAGTCTCAGCGCCAACACCCTCAGCAGCACCAGCTCCAGGAGAACCCTCAGACCCAGCAGCTCCAGCACCCACAGCACGAGTACCTCCGGGACGCTCGGCAGCAGCACCCTCTACAGCCGAAGAACCTCTAGCACCAGCAGCACGCCTCTAGCGCCGGGCAAACCACTCACGCAGCTCCTGTGGGGAGAGTGGCTCTCGGCGAGACGAAGCACCGCCAGGTGGAGCACCCCCAGTCTCAGCACCCCCAGGCTCAGCACCCCCAGGCCCAGCACCCCCAGGCTCAGCACCCCCAGACTCAGCACCCCCAGGCTCAGCACCCCCAGGCTCAGAACCCCTAGGCTCAGCACCTCCAGACTCCGCACCCCCAGGCTCAGCACCTCCAAGCGTAGCGCCTCCAGTCCCAGCACCCCCAGGCTCAGCTCCCGCAGCAGCACCAGAGTCACTAGTGACCTCGACAGGCTCGACCGCGTCTACCTGGGTCACACCTGAAGGGGCAGGACCCTGGGGGGGGAGGGGGTCTACCGGGGGGGGACCTGGTACCAAGAAGAGCGGGGGCGGGGGGAGGGACGGAGTGCGGTAGGGGAAGAGGCGGTAGTAGGGTACCGACTCGTCGAACGTGACGTCCTGGGAGGACAGAACACGTCGAGAGGTGGGGTGGTAGAACTGCCACCCAGGGGCGTCGGGGGGAACCCCAGGAAGACGCAGGGAGCAGCGCGAGGGGACAGCTTGTCCGCAGACAAGTCGCGGACAAACGCCCGAGATCCCCAGACCCGGAACGCCGACGCATCGCCAACCTTCCCCGTCCACAGCAAGGCTGGGGAGGTCTCCGGCCTGGAGACCCTGGGGTGGAGGTTGATCTGATGCACCGCGTACCTGACCGCAAACGGCCACAGAAAATGGGGGGCAGCCGCATGCATCATAGACGTACGAGCGACGTCCATGACCATGCCAATGCGGCGCTCTGCAATCCCATTTTGCTGCGGGGAGTCCGGAAGCGTGAAGGTCTGGCGGATGCCTCGCGCACGACAGTAGGCACGCAGAAGGCCAGAGGAGAACTCTCCGCCTCTGTCCGAGTGCAGACGCAACACAGGAAAGTCCGAGCCAAAGCTCTGCCTGAGCTGGAGACGAGCTGCGCGGATCCAGTCGATCAGCACCTCAGTGACATCACCCTTGCTGCGCAAGGGGAAGACTGTGGTGTAACGCGAGTAGTCGTCAACCACCAACAGGAAGTAGCGCTCGTGACCGAGTCCACGGACGCGGGCAGGGCCCCACACGTCCATGTGAAGCGTCTGCAACAGAGCCTCTGTCGGAGGAAACTGGGAGGAGTGAGGGGCAGCACGCTGGCGCCCCTCGACACAGGGGACACAGGCAGGGCCAGGGCCCTGAGGAAGGGGAGGGAGGGACCGGGGGAGACCAGACACAAGAAGGCGGCAGGCCATGCCTCTGAGCCAAAGCAGAGAGGGGTGGCCAAGGCGGTGGTGTTAGAGGAGGGTCTCGTGAGGCAGACAGCGACACGAACAGGGGGCAGACTCCGGACCAGACTTGGACGCAGCAGCAAACACCTGACCAGACGAAGGGACTCTACCAGACTCAGCACCTGGAGGAGAAGCAGTGGTCAGTGTGTACACGCTCGACCCTGGGTGACGTGTAAACGTAGCCAGGTGACGACCTGTGCTAGCCTCTGTGCAGTGCGTCACTCGCTGACGAGCAGGGGTGAACTGGTGGACTCCCGCATCCTGTAGGTCAGCACCACTCACCAAGTTCGTAGAGAACGAGGGGAGGTAGAGACCAGACAGGGTGCCAGAGGGAGCCGCCAGACCAGGGAGGACTGTGGAGAAGCGAGACAGGACAGGACCCCCAGAGGGGTGAGCCAGGGAAACCGCAACCGGCCGACTAAGCGGCGTGAGTGTGGTGCGGTCCCGAAAGAAAGAGCGAGACGCTCCAGAGTCAAGAGTGAAGGTGTGGGAGGCCGAAGCCGACGCAGTACCTGAGAGCACAGACGCACTAGTACCTGAGAGAGCAGCCTCACCAGCACCTGAGAGCACAGACGCACTGGCACCTAGAGCAGAAGCCTCACCGGCACCTGGAGCAGCATTACGAATGCCCTAGTCGGGCGGGAAACACCGGTAACAGTCACCATCATCACTAACAGTCACAGCATACATGGCAGCAAGGATAGCATCAAAGTCAAGATCAAAAACAGCTACACCAGCCCTAGACAGCTCTCCCCAGCGGGGGATCTCTGCGGCCTCCGGGAACTGCTGGCGCCAAGCGTCCGTCAGGCGGTGAAAGCAGCGCTGGGCGGTGTGGGCGCCCCCACACTGCTCTCCAGCGCGGTCGCCAGTGCGGAGAACGTAGGTGCAGGGACCAAAACCCCCACCGCGCTGACGCTGCGTGTACCACTCACGGAGCTGCTGAGGGGTGGGGACGTCGCGAGAACGCTGCTGCTGCTGCTGTGGCTGACCTCCCCCAGTGCTGCTCCGCTGCGAAGCTCCACTCCGACCACCTCCACCTCCGCCACCCCCGCCTCCACCTCCACCGCCCCCGCCTCCGCCTCCACCGCCGCCACCTCCGCCACCTCCGCTACCACCGCCACCGCCGCCGCCACCCCCGCCTCCACTGCCGCCACTAGCACCTCCACCCCCGCTACCACCTCCACCGCCACCCCCACTCCCTCCGCCGCCTCCACCTCCACCTCCACCGCCCCCACTGGCCCCACCCGCTCCCTTGCCCCCCTTGCCCTTGCCAGAGCGGCGTCTCCCGCTAAGGGCAAACGCCGCACCGACCGACTCAAGACCAACGAGGTCGGCCGCAGCGGCAGAGGCGACAGAGGGCAGGAGAGGGGAAGGAGAACACCCCTCAAAGATGGGGGCACGGGGGTCGCCTCGAGAGGCTCCTACAGCGACTATGCTCTTCTCTGCCGCAAGGAGGGCCTTCTCTAGGCTGTCGACTGTGAGGGTGGTGGGACAGACTGCGAGGAAGTGGTCCCGGACTACACGAAGGGAGTCAGGGAGGCGAGTGACTAAGAAGTAGAGAGTGATGTACATGGGGGGGGGGTTCTTGGCGCAGAAGTCAGCAGGAAGCGCAGCGCGGTAGCGAGTGTCACTAGTGCGGAGGTGCGTGATGAGATCAGCGACAGTGGGAAAGGTTGCAAGGTCAGAGAAGAGGAAGAGGAGCATGAGGCGGCTCAGTGCAGCAGTGGTAGGGGAGGAGTAGCGCGCAACTACAGCGTCGTACAAGGTCTGGGCACTTTTGTACTAGCTAAAGTGCGCGCGCTCAGCGGTAGGCAAGTGGCGACGCACAGCAAGACGTGCAGCAGCATCGCGCGTGGCCCACTGTGAGCGAGCAGTGGCGTCAGCATCAGCAGCAGGGGAAGGGACGGCGCCAGAGGTGAGGTCAAAGAGAGACAGACCGTCCGCCCTATCGCACTGTAAAAACAGCTGCAGGTCGTCGAGCCAGACCTCGAAGTCTATGGCTCGACCCTCAGCGTCAAAGGCGAGGACACTAGGGGTAGCCATGACGACGACAGTGAAGCAGTGCAAGCAGTAGGGGAAGGGCACGCAGTGATAGCGGTACAGTGCTCACCGGGCAGAACAGGTCGGGCGGCTCGGTAGAAAGGCGGCTCGGCTACTCAGCGACTCGGCTCCCGGGCGGCTCAGCTCCCAGGCGGCTCGGCGGTAGGGCGGCTCGGGCGGGGCGGCTCGGGTGCAAGGGCGGCTCGGCTGCAGTGCTGCTCGGCTGCTGCAGTTGGGCGGCTCGGCTGCTGCAGTTGAGCGGCGCGAGAGCAAGGGGCGGCGGGGCCGTGAGTGCTGGGGCGGCGGGGCCGTGAGATCAGGGACGGCGAGGCCGCGTATCAGGGGCGGCGGGGCCGGGAGCGCTGGGGCGGCGGGGCCGCGTATCAGGGGCGGCGGGGCCGGGAGCGCTGGGGCGGCGGGGCCGCGAGATCAGGGGCGGCGGGGCCGGGAGCGCTGGGGCGGCGGGGCCGCGTATCAGGGGCGGCGGGGCCGGGAGCGCTGGGGCGGCGGGGCCGCGAGATCAGGGGCGGCGGGGCCGTGAGCGCTGGGGCGGCGGGGCCACGAGATCAGGGGCGGCGGGGCCGGGAGCGCTGGGGCGGCGGGGCCGAGAGATCAGGAGCGGCGGGGCCGTGAGCGCTGGGGCGGCGGGGCCGTGAGATCAGGGACGGCGGGGCCGCGAGCGCTTGGGCGGCGGGGCCGCGAGATCAGGGGCGGCGAGGGCCGCGAGTTCAGGGGCGGCGGGGCCGCGAGATCAGGGGCGGCGGGGCCGCTGGAGCAGGGGCGACGGGGCCGCGAGATCAGGGGCGGCGGAGCCGCGTGAGTAAGAGCGGCGAGGGCCGCGAGAGCAGGGCGGCGAGGCCGCTAGAGAAGAGGCGGCGGGGCCGCGTTCACTGGGTGGCGGGGCTCGGGATGAGTGCGCTTCGGGCAGGAAAAAAACAGTTTCGAGTGGTGGGCCCTAGGCACAGTTCCCACAGGGGAACCTGCTCGATACCATGAGGAAAACTGAACGAGAATGAATGAACTATGAAATGAAGTGAGTACAAATATGAAACCCTAATTGTGTTGTACCCCCTATGGGATACCCCACTATAGCCTACAGAAATGAGTAAGCTATAATGTTCTGACACTAGTAAGGCTTGAATGGTATATAACGCACATGTGTAGAGAAAATGGTGCATCGGCCAGTTTGGCCGTCATGCGCACTTATAGTGCAAGTGGGGCTAAGTACATGGAATCAAGCGGTCTCACTCGATCAAAAGATGCGAAATATTTTCTCTAGAGAACAAAGGGGTTTGAAAGGTATCAAACGCACACGTATAAAAAAAATGGTGCATTAGCGAGGCAGGTCGGTATGGGAACTTGGAGTGCAAGTGCCTAGGAGAATGGAAACGCCCAGATTTTGAAAGGTGCAGGGAATCTAGGCGTCTCACTTGATCAGACGGTAGGAAAAAGATCATTCTAGTGAACTAATGAGGCTTGAGTTGTATACAGCGCACATGTGTAGAGAAAATGGTGCATCGGTCAGTCTGGCCGTCATGCGCACTTATAGTGCAAGTGGGGCTAGGGAGGATTAAAACGCTCAAATCTCACAAAGTACATTAAATCTAGCGGTCTCACTCGATCAAAAGATGTAAAATACATTAATCTAGACAACGAACAATGTTTGAAAGGTATCTAACGCTCACGTATAGAGAAAATGGTGCATTAGCGAGGCATGTTGATATGGGAACTTAGAGTGCAAGTGCCTAGGAGAATGGAAACGCTCAGATTTTGAAAAGTACAGGGAATCTAGCGGTCTCACTTGATCAGAAGGTAGGAAGTAAACTAGTATAGTGAACTAATGAGGCTTGAATGATATATAATGCACATGTGTAGAGAAAATGGTGCATTGGCCAGTCTGGCCTTCATGCGCACTTATAGTGCAAGTGGGGCTAGGGAGAAAAAAATGCCCAAATCTCACAAAGTACGTGGAATCTAGCGGTCTCACTCAATCAAGAGATGCAAAATATATTAATCTAGAGAACAAAGGGGTTTGAAAGGTATCTAACATACACGTATAGAGAAAATGGTGTCAGATTATAATGCATGTCTAGTCTGCAGTGGGGTACTCAAAAGTGAGTATAACCCTTTTAGGGCTTACTACTTGTATCCCTCTGCTTTCTAGTGAACTCAATTCTCCTTCTCAACTTTCTCGACATTCTCCTTCCTAAACCTAAAACCTAAGCTACCAAGGGTCCTAAGCTATGGCTTCTAAGCCACATTCACTCTAGGATTCTAACATGCTCTCAGAGCAAAACGCTCCTGGCCTGTGGGCCCACCTAATTCCGCTGCCCTACTGTGTGTCGCCCGCCCCGTGGCGCGCGACCTCCTATTTTTCTTCCCGCCACGCGCCCCGAGCGCATGGCAGTTTTCTGCCCGCTGTGCGCCCCGAGGCGCGCGGCGGGTTCCTATCTCGTCGCGGCGTCTTGGGGGCCCGCGCGCCAGCCCCGACCGTCGCCTCGTCGCGGTGTTGTGGGGGCCCGCACGCAGGCCTCTCCCATCGCCTCGTCGCGGCGCTTTTGGGGCCCGCGAGCCGGCCCCTCCCGTCGCCTCGTCGAGGCGTCTTGGGGGCCCGTGCGCGTTCCCCTCCCGTCGCCCGTCGAGGCGCTCTTGGAAGCCCTGCGACAGCCGCCCCTGAAGCGGCCGCCCCTGCAGCAGCAACCCCTGGAGCAGCCACCCCAGCAGCAGCCGCCCCTGGAGCCGCCGTCACTGCAGCAGCCGCCCCAGCAGCCGCCACTGCAGCAGCAGCCCCTGTCGCAGCCGCCCCAGCAGCAGCCGCCTCTGGAGCAGCCGCCACTGCAGCAGCCGCCCCTAGAGCCGGACGCATGCTTGTGTCCGACGCATGCTTGTGTCCGACGCATGCTTGTGTCCGGACGCATGCTTGTGCCCGGTCGCATGCTTGTGTCCGATCGCATGCTTGTGTCCGGACGCATGCTTGAGTCCGGTCGCATGCGTGTGTCTGGACGCATGCTTGAGTCCGGTCGCATGCTTGTGTCCGGACGCATGCTTGTGTCCGGACGCATGCTTGTGTCCGGACGCATGCTTGTGTCCGGACGCATGCTTGTGTCCGACGCATGCTTGTGTCCAGACGCATGCTTGTGTCGGGACGCATGCTTGTGTCCGGACGCATGCTTGTGTCCGGACGCATGCTTGTGCCCGGTCGCATGCTTGTGTCCGGTCGCATGCTTGTGTCCGGACGCATGCTTGTGTCCGGACGCATGCTTGTGTCCGGTCGCATGCTTGTGTCCGGACGCATGCTTGTGTCCGGACGCATGCTTGAGTCCGGACGCATGCTTGTGTCCGGACGCATGCTTGTGTCCGGACGCATGCTTGTGTCTGGACGCATGCTTGTGTCCGGACGCATGCTTGAGTCCGGACGCATGCTTGTGTCCGAACGCATGCTTGTGTCCGGACGCATGCTTGTGTCCGGACGCATGCTTGTGTCCGGACGCATGCTTGTGTCCGGACGCATGCTTGAGTCCGGACGCATGCTTGTGTCCGAACGCATGCTTGTGTCCGGACGCATGCTTGTGTCCGGACGCATGCCTGTGTCCGGACGCATGCTTGTGCCCGGACGCATGCTTGTGTCCGGACGCATGCTTGTGTCCGGTCGCATGCTTGTGTCCGGACGCATGCTTGTGTCCGGTCGCATGCTTGTGTCCGGACGCATGCTTGTGTCCGGACGCATGCTTGTGTCCGGTCGCATGCTTGTGTCCGGACGCATGCTTGTGTCCGGACGCATGCTTGAGTCCGGACGCATGCTTGTGTCTGGACGCATGCTTGTGTCTGGACGCATGCTTGTGTCCGGACGCATGCTTGAGTCCGGACGCATGCTTGTGTCCGAACGCATGCTTGTGTCCGGACGCATGCTTGTGTCCGGACGCATGCTTGTGTCCGGACGCATGCTTGTGTCCGGACGCATGCTTGAGTCCGGACGCATGCTTGTGTCCGAACGCATGCTTGTGTCCGGACGCATGCTTGTGTCCGGACGCATGCCTGTGTCCGGACGCATGCTTGTGCCCGGTTGCATGCTTGTGTCCGGACGCATGCTTGTGTCCGGTCGCATGCTTGTGTCCGGACGCATGCTTGTCTCCGGACGCATGCTTGTGTCTGGACGCATGCTTGTGTCCGGACGCACGCTTGCGTCCGGACGCATGCTTGTGTCCGGACGCATGCTCGTGTCCGGACGCATGCTTGTGTCCGGACGCATGCTTGAGTCCGGACGCATGCTTGTGTACAAACGCATGCTTGTGTCCGGACGCATGCTTGTGTCCGGACGCATGCTTGTGTCCGGTCGCATGCTT